AGGTACTCAGAGAAGCTCTGTGTTTCTCAAGTCATTATTTTAGCTGACAATTTACCCCCTCTCCCTGGGTGAAAACAAAGCAAACCCAACTGGCCAAACTTATAATTTTCATTCCAGGAGGTCCTCCCGTGCTGTCAGGAGTCCACTCCACATGCCGTCCTTGCAGTCACAATCACTGATGGTCCAGTGCAGTAGTCACTGGGGCTCTAACACTAGTTAGTGCTGTACTGAAACTCATCACAAATGGCGCCTACAGTAACAAGGCCAATACCAGCATCCCAAGTCCCACTGGCAAGGAGTTCAGCCAATGCTCAGGTCTAAGGGCATACGGGAACCTATCAATAATCCCTCCTCTGAGGGGCTCTCCCCTGGAATCATGTCTGCTCCCAAGCCTACACTGATCAGAATCCAGTCAGGACAAAGAGCTCATAGTCCATCATTTTTGTATGTTTTTGTTTTGGGGTGACACCTTGCGATACGCTGGGGTTACTCCTGGCTCTGCATTCAGAAGTCATGCATGGCAGTGGGATGCCAGGGATCGAACCCAGGTTGGCTACATGCAAGACAGTCTCATTACCCTCTGTACTATCACTCTGGCCCATCATTAACCCATCATTTGAATATGCATGTTAGTATAAAGAACTGTTCAGGAGCAAAAGGCAGTTAGTTACTAATAGGGGTCAAAAAGGACTCTAAGGGACCCTGAATGCAAAACAGCACAGGGAAGTAGCCACTGCCACACCCCACCCCCACCAAAAAATAGAAGTTGCTTTGTCTAAAGTAACAGAAAGTAAATAACAAAGGAATTAGGGAAGGGCCTGAGTGATATTACAACAGGTAAGGTATAAGCCTTGCACAAGGACAACTCTGGTTTGATCCCTGACTGTGTGTGATCCCCAAGCACCACCAGGAGTTATCTTTGCACACAGAGCCAGCAGTAAACTTTCAGTAGAGCCAGTGTGTGGGCTCAAATCTAGAGGAGAAGGAGGAGGAGGAGGAGAAGGAGGAGGAGGAAGAAGAACTGAGAGCTGAGAAATTCCTTATTCATGGCTGAGCTGCAGACCTCTCCCATGACTGTGATGACTGCAATATGCAGTCACGGAGGCTAAGAAACTTACCAGGAGGTGCAGGACAACACTGCAGAAGCCGTGAGGCCTGAGAGGGCTAACACAGGTCAGCAAGGGCCAGTGAGCTCCTGTGCTGACTCCCTGGTAGATAGATAGATAGATAGATAGATAGATAGATAGATAGATAGATATAGATAGATAGATATCATATAGATATGGATATGGATATGGATATAGATATAGAGTTTTTTATTTTTTGGTAATTCATCAGGGTGGGGGTGGGAAAGGAGGAAGGTGAACCAGACCTGGAGGACCTTCCAGGGTCCAGCACCAGTACCTCGTAGTGTCTCTCTAACGCCCTCTACTGGCAAAACCTAACAGTACCAGATGGCGAAAGAACGGTTCCAGGTGCAGCTCTAGAATTGCAGAGCAAGGCAAAGAAGGTGCAGCCAGAGAACAGAGACAAACACTTATAACAGACACGGAGAGAGAGAAGCAGACATGGAAGAGAGCAAGGGATCTGTCTGGGAACAAGGCTGGAGCCACCTGGGCTGCTCTGTCAGGGGCAAGCGTGGACTGGAAGTTTGGGGAGAGAACTGTCCATACCATCTTCCAGAAGAGGACACCAAACAGCTCAGGAACACCATGTCACTCAATGAACAGAAGCTGAAACTCCCGAATGGGCTGCCTCCTTCTGCCCATCCCTGGGAGTAAGCAGCAGGTGGATTGGAATGTGTTTCATTTTTCTTAAGGAGGGCTCTCAGTCTCCTGCTGTCTTGAGTTTTCTCCCACCACCAACAGCAGACATGAGAACATTCCATCAGCGGCATTTCCAGCAGGGTTGCTGGTGCCAAGCACCTAGTCTGAGCCCCATAGCTCACACCTCTGCATGGGGACCTGGCCTGAGCAAGGGCTGAGAGGGCAGACAGACTTACAGACAGATCACCCACAGCTAGTGTGGACCAGCACTGTACCAACCAGTATGTCTGTGATGATACCAAGAGCAAGCGATGGGCTGGATCCAATCGTTATTCTTTCCTAGATGTGTGATCTGAAGCAGTTTTCTTGAGTTCTCTGTGCCTGTTTCCTTGTATCTCCAAAATTCTGCATAATACCTACCTCAGGATTGCTGGAAAGATGAGGGACAATCAAGGATTTAATACAAAGACTTGCTGGTTTAATGCAAGGGTTTGCTAGGAGTGGAAGTAGAGCACTCAGATCCTCTAGATCAAAGGCCACATTGCACCATGCTCAGAAGCTGTGTTTCTGCCAATGGCCTGACACCAGCGTCAGCATCAGCCCAGGAGTGTTCAAGCCACGGCATCCTGCTGGGAATGGGCCCTGTAGAGCAGCTCTGGACTTCTGGCACTGGACAGGTGAAGAGATGAGGCCAGTGAGGACAGGCATTTGCTCAAGGCCCATAGTACAACGGTGGCAGAACCCACAGTGGACTCGACCTCGCCACATCAGGACTAGAGTCGGCATCCAGGTGACCGTCTGAAGGACTAATGCTAATAATAGCTTTGGAGGAAGAGTTTGCATCCTGACTCTGCACCTTTCATTCATTCAGTTACTCGGTGCCTGGCAGGGGTCAGGTACTGGCCAGAGCCCAGGGATCCCCCTCCCAGTTCTCAGATGAGGTGTCAGAGGCTCCTAACTATGGACACCAGCCTCAGTGTCCTCAAGAGGAAGAGGCTCAGACCAAGGACCAAGGATATCAGTGCTCCTGGCTACCTCCCACGTGTCTCTAAGTAGGCTCTGCCCTGGCAACAGTACTGTCCTGGGTCTTGTCCCCTCTCCAGGGCAGCTGGGGGCCCCAGTGATCCCAGTAGCGGGGCACAGTCAGGCCCCAGTCTTTGTCAGGGCTGCAAACTCTCAGCAGCCACTGGGCCAGGACAGGTCCAAGAGGGACCCTGGTGCTATGGGAGAGTCAGAGCTGCCCCAGGGACTCCTCCAGCTCGATCTACTACACCCGAAAAACTCACTTAGCCCATGGAAGGACTAGGCAGCAGCCGGACCTATGTGGTGGGTTGAAATCCTGTTTGCAGGAATCTGGGTGAACATATGTCCACCCCGCACTGCAGGGCCAGTGTTCCAGCAGAGCAGACAGGCCATTTATCTTCCTGTGCCCCCACAGTCTTGGCTACAGGCCACATACACATGCGCATGTGTATGCACACACACACACACACACACACACACACACACACACAAACACACACACACACCTCCCTATACTTCCAGCATGGGAAGTCAAGGTATAGCTTCAACTTACCCATCCCCCACAGCTCTGGAACAGTGCAACCTAACTTTGGGGCTCAGGGATCACTCCTGACAGGACTCCTGACACTCCTACAGGGTACCAAGGATCAAACCAGGGTCAGCTGCATGCAGGGCAAGAGCCCTACTTGCTGTACTATTCCTTTAGCCCCAGGCCCTGACCTTGACCTTGGAGTCAGCCTGCAGAGCCTCAAATTCAAGTCTAGTGGTACCATGTCATCGCTGTGGCTCTGGGCAGGGAGCAGCTACCTGAGTGTCTGTGGCCCTGCCCCGAGCACCCCTGGGGAAAGCCCTGGGAGCCCCCAGCCCCTCTAGACCCAGGTAGCATGGAACCGTGTGGCCCACAGAGCTGAGGCAGGTGCAGTTGGGGGAGCCCAGAAACCTATGAAACTGTTTAGGAGGCCAAAACCAACAAACAAGAGCTCCTCTTCCAAGTCCCAGGAGTTGTGATCAGTGTCTCCTGTACTGTGGTCACCCTGCAGTGGCGGTCAGGCTAGGTGGCTAGTGTGGCCTCCTGCAGGTCTGCCCGCTGGTGTTTGCTGTTCATGCCTTGCACTGACTCTTCTCACGTGCCTTCCAGTCTTTCAATCAGTCAGACCGGTTTCAGTACAGAGTTCCCAGAGCACAAAAGCAACCTCTGCAGGGCCCCGTGAGGTCCAGGGGCCAGGACCCTCTGGTGCCACACTGTGAGGGACAAGCATATTCAGTGCACTCTAGCCAGTAGCAAGGGCAGAGACATGGGACCCATCAGCTAAGGCTTAGAGATCAGTGGATGAGTGCAGGTCTGTGCCCTAGCTTAGTGGCATCATCAGTCTTCTGATTTTCTTTATGAATTCCTTCTGGAAGTGCTGGGCATCAAGACTACGTCTTGTGCCTACAGAAAGGCATGTCCTTTGCCGCTGAGCCACATCTCTGGACCCAACACACATATACATGATTCAGACTACAGATTGTTCAACAGTGAGGGTTTTAGAGTGGGTCGTATCTTTAAGCCGATGGGGCACATAGGACACAGGCCCAGCCAGCGTATGAACAGAACTGACACATCAGAGAACCGGCTTTCACCTGCAGAAGTGAGGCCGAGTCATGGGAACTATTCTTCCCCCTCCCCCGCCACGGCCACGTTGAGAGAGAAGCAGGAGGGATTTGGATGTCTACTACTGAGTCCATCCTCTCCACTGTACCCAGGCAGCTGGGCTGTGTGGGGCTGCATGACCATCCTCCAGAGGGTGCCCCTCCATCTCGTCTCTTTAAATTCAGTCCTTCCAGGCCCCTGGCACCTCCTGGCATTTAATCATGACTGTGATCACCCCCGCTTAATAGATGGGACAAGGAGCTCAGGGTAGGGCGACTGACTCATCCAGGACCTCGCAGCTGGAGGGGCCTCCCAGCCTGACACCAAAGCAGGACAGTCACCTGCTGTACCTTCTGAAGGCTGACCAGACTCCCAGCCCTCAAGGACGGACAGAGGCCCTGCGGGGGGCCAAACCCACTGTCTCAAGAAGTGCATCAGGAACTATGTATGTCTGAGTCCCTGAACTATCTCTGCCACGAATTTCTGCATGGAGAGAAAAGCCTCAACCACTGGCCTGATGGCACCCAGCGGGCAGCGAGCAGGCCCTGGCCAAGGGCAGACACACACGGGCCACTCTGTGGCATTCAGAGAGCACATTTATTTACAAAGCACTTTACAAACGTCAGCGTTCGCCTCCCCACAGCCCCCTGCGAGGTAGGTCAGTAGTCATATCTACAGTTTACAGATGGGGAAATTGAGGCACGGAATGGGGGTGTGGCCTGCCCCATTTTAAAGAGACCTTCCCATTCACCCATCAAAATATAATGAAAAATAAATTCCTTCCCCCACCCCAAAAAAAAAGCATCGCTCATCCTCCCAAGTCTACAGGTGGTGAGCACCCCTGTCCAGCAGAGCCTCCCAGTGGGCAGTGCGCCCGGGAGCCCCAGGGACCTCAACCCCGGGGACTGTCATTCAGATTTGAAGATTGTCACCTGCACAGACTGAGCGGCTGGCCAGTGGGGAGATAACAAGAGGCAGAAGGGGCTGGGGTGATTCCATTCCGCAGGAAGTGGCCCCATGGGGCAGGGCAGGGCAGGGCAGGGCAGGGCCCAGCAGGAAGCCAGAGCACATGGCAGGGAGTCGGAGAGGGACACAGGGAGCCCACGGCAGCAAGGCGGCAGGAACAGAGGGGGTTTTGGGCCCCCTGGCAGAACTCTCCTGTGCCCACTGCAAAGCAGGGCAGAGTCCATTTCCTCACAGCCCCAGGGGCTGGGCTGCTGGGATTCCTGGACACCAAGCCCCACTGTCCTCTCTGCTTACGTCCGGAGGCAGCTGAGCTGGCAAGCAGCTTCCTCCTGGCCCTCAACTGGGCCAAGGCCAGGATGGAGTGAAGGTGCCAGACCGGGTCCCCCAGCACCGGCAGGTATGAGCCCAAGCCACACCGCAGGGCAGTGCCTGGCCTCTTCAGGACCCAGTGGACGCAGGGCTAAGCTTTCTCTCAGCCCTCAGCCTGCCCCCCACCCCGTGGCAGGGGCACAGAGCTGGCCCACTCCAGGGCTCTCCCTGTGGGGGCATGGTGAATCGGGTGGGACACAGGCTGTCCTCAACTGAAGTGCTGGTGGGCCTGGCCCTGAGCGTGTTGGGTGCCCCAGGCCACAGGCTCCCGCTATCTGGACTCCAGCCCCTCCAGGAACTCCAGGGCCACGTCATAGCAGAAGTGGTACTGATCCTGGGGAGGAGAAGAGAGAGTCACCAAGGGAGGGCACGCCGTCGTGGGGGGGATGGGAGATGGGGGTCTGGGAGGTCTGGGTCGGGAACTGGTGGCGGCTGTGACAGGGGGTCCTCACCAGGGTCTCCACCATATTGGGCTTGTAATTCCGCAGCATTTTGGCAGCAAAGAAAACGTCCACCAGGTTGTGGCAGCGAATCATCTCGAGCACGGTGGCGCAGGTGCAGAAGGTGCCACTGCGACCGCCCCCGTTTCTGAAGGAGACACAAAAGGCTGGGGTGGAGCTGGGGAAGAGTCGGGTGCTCTCGAAGGTGGAGGCAAAAAGCAGGAGCGGGGAGAGGGCAGAGAGGCCAGGCACCCTGGACATGCCAGGTGGGAGGCAAGGGGCGGGATGAGGGGGGTCCAGAAGGAAGGGACACGGAGTCATAGAGTCAGCAGGGAGAGGATGGCCCAGGGGACAAGGGACGGGACAGGGAGCCAGAGGCCAGTAGCAGGAGTTCAAGGCGAAGCAGGTGTAGTCGGATGCTAAGACGCCTATGGCCTCTAGACACTCAGAGCCCAGAGGGGAACAGGCGGATTCACAAGCCTAGAGGCCCAACACACTCCAAGGGCGAGGCTGGGACTAAGACAGTCCCAGAAGAAGGTACGGGAGCAGAGCCAAGAGCAAGAACACGGGAGGTCAGACCTGCAGCCTCTCAGCAGGACACTCCCTCCTCTCCCCCATCCAGCTCCCCCGACCCCATTCCCTGAGGCTCCTTTTGGTAAGTAGGGGGATGCATGAGGTTCTCAGCTCCCTCTCAAGGGGGGCTCTCCCACCAGGACCCCACACCCCTCGGGGACTGGCTGCCTCAGCTCTCATCTGTTTTTTTTTCCTTTTTGGGTCACACCTGGCAATGCACAGGGGTTATTCCTGGCTCTGCACTCAGGAATCACCCCTGGCGGTGCTCAGGGGACCATATGGGATGCTGGGAATCGAACTTAGGTCGGCCATGTGCAAGGCAAACGCCCTACCCGCTGTGCTATCACTCCAGTCCCATCAGCTCTCATCTATTATTGCACCCGGTATGCTCGGCTGAAAAGGACAGTAATTGTGGCAAGTATAAAGCAGTCAGCATGGCCACACCCAGACATGCGTGAAGACATGCGCTTCCAAAGGGAGTGTGTGGACAAAAGAAAAGTTGCAAGCATGAATGCATGAAGCAAGACCAGAACAACAAAATCTGAAGAAGTTGGAGCCAGAGAAACAGGACAAAGGGGAAGGTGCTGCCTGGCCTGGGACCAGCCATCGTTCAAATATCCCAAACACATATGGTCCCTGAGCACTCCCAGGGCCCCCTCCAGAGCCAGGAGTGGCCCCTGGCTCTGTGCTGAACTCTCCTCCCCAAAAACAGAAGATCCCTGTGGGACTGGGGGGAAACAAAGACCTAGGGCTGCCTCCTGGCATGGCATCACGTCACGGAGGCTCAGGGTGGGGGTGACGTCTGGGAACTAACGGTTCCTCCAGAAGAGGCAGGGCCAGTTCCCCGGGACGCCTGGACTCTGGGCCAGCCCTCTGCCTTCCCGCCTGGCCCCCGCCACACTCACAGGCAGTGCACCACGGTGCGGCCGTCCCCGCTCTCCGCCTGCCACTTGTCCACCTCAGCCAGCAGGTGCAGGAAGGCCTTCTTGGAGTCCGGCGTGTCCCGGTACGCAGACCAGCGCAGGAACTGGAAGTGCCGCACCAGCAGGTGGCCCTCCTGCAGCTGGGGGCATAGTGAGTACCAGGGCCACCAGAGGTAACCCAGCCACCACCTCCAGGCTCCCACATCACTTACCCGAGAGATATTCTGCACCCGGAACACACGGGCCACCAAGTCCTCATCCGCCGTGCCTGACACGAACTCCACCTCCATAAGGCCGTACTGATGCCGGCCTGGCTCTGGCCAGTACTGCGGGCATGGCTGGACGCAAGCCAGGGAAGAGAGCAGAGCTGAGGCGTGCAGGGCCAGCTCGAACCTCTATATCTGCCCTGGTGTCCCCACACAGCCCAGACCCACCTCCTGAGTCACCCTGCTCACATACCAGGCTGCCCAGCATACGTGCCCAATGGGCTCCACCCCACACTGCAGTGTGCCAAGTTACTCCTGTCAGTGGTGCGCTGCCCACTAGGCTCCCTAGCCACCACACGTGCCCACTCACACATTCCCCCTGCCCACCACATGATCCTGCTCGTATATTCTACGCCTGCCCACCACGCACGCCCACTTGCATACTCCCCACCACACACAGAGTCACACACTGCCCCCTGCCCACCACACATGCTTACTCACACACTCCACCCCTGCCCGCCACACACACCCCTGCCCACCACATACACCCACTCACACACTCCACCCCTGCCCTGGTCGCCCAGCCACATTCTGAGACACAGTTCCACATCCCAACTGTAAGGAGTAGGACTCCACATGCACCCTTTCTCTGGTCCACAGACTGGACAGTGGGGAGACAGAGGAGGCACAGAATGTGTCCCCCGCACATGCATGCATCCAGACTTGTGGTTCAGTTTCTCCCTGGGTGAAATGGTTTCCAAGCTCCTCCCAGTAAAAGCCACACCCCACCCAGCTCCCTCTCTGAGTCCCCCGCCCCCCGCCAGAGAACACCCCCAACCCCTAGTGTCCAGGGTCTGAAACCTCCTCAATGCACATCTCTGCCTATGCTGCCCCCACTCTCCTCCGTGCCCACTTCTTCACCTACGTAATGCCGACTCTCCCATACATCTCAGCTAAGACACTACCTCTGAGAAGTCCGCCCTGATCCACTCTTCCCCGGGTTCCTCTGTGGGCCTATGTTAGCTCTCCCCTGTATTTCCACCTCTGGTTTTACACCTGTTCCCTCTAGGCCCCAAGGCCTGGGAGGGACCCTAAGTCCTGCCTGTGCCCAGTGGCCCCCCCACAGCCCCTAGTCCAGGAAGCGGCTCCTGGGAGAGGTGGTCCAGTGGAGGAGTGAGTGGGTGGCAGTAAAGAAGCCTCCCCTGGGTCCCACCCCTCTGAGGGGAGAGGGCTCCTGCCCAGGAACCCCTGACCCACAGACTGAGATCACTGACACCAGGTGCCAGACGCACCAAGGCTCGTTACAGTCTCCAGGGGCCACAAGGGGCACTTTACAGCTGCCAGGGAGCTGGAGAGGCAGCACAGACCCCAGGACCAGGCTCATGCTGGCCAGGAGGCTGAGCACCAGCATTTCCGGGAGCTCTAGTCCTGCTCAAGAGCGTCCAGGCTGTGCTAGGCCAGACCACAGGCCAGTGAGAAGCCTGGCAGCTGACCCCTCCACATGCTGACATTTCATGTACTGATCCTTCTATGTATTGACCCTTCTAAGTACTGATCCTTCCGTGTACTGACCCGTCCACATACTGACCCACGAACTGACCCCTCCATGTACTGAGCACAGCTCCATGCCAGCAGCCGGGTGCTGACCCAGGTCTGAAAAGAACCTCATGTGGACAGGAGCTGGAAGGGTCCCTGCGCCACAGAAAGGAAACCGAGACTGGCCCCATGAGGTCAATTAACTTTCCCTAGACCAGTCACAAAGCAAGGAGGCTGGAACTTGACTGTTTCAAAGATCCCTGTGATGAACAGTTTAGTCAAGAGACTGAAAAAGCGAAAACATAACCCTTCCATCTGTCAGGAGACAGCCCAGAGTGGGGTACAGCCAGGTGACGCTGGAAAAGTCTGAGCCTTCTCACACTTGAAAATCCAAGTGCAAAGGTGAGTCCTGGGCATGTAGGAGCTGTACCAAAAAAAGCAGCTCTTTTCCTCTAATCTGACAACCTCCTCTCACAGAGGAGGAAACTGATGAGACTCTGGAGGGAGCCCCATATACAGTCAATCAGCAAAAGATCCAGACCCCACCAGAACTCCTGAAATGTGCTCTTAAATGCATGGGCAGTGGTCCTCACCCAGGCCGAGTTGGACTGGTGCAGCTGGTTGAGCATGACGATGGACGTGCACCCGTAGTCGTAGACCAGGCGCCAGAAGTCAGGCGTGGTGCTCTGCAGTGGGTGCAGTGTCACGATGAAGGCTGCGCTCCGGGTGTAGCTCTGCAGAACAAACGGACCTCAGGGGACAGCTCACTGTGCCCACCCCCCTGCCCCTAGCCGGGCCCCAGGCTCTCTCCTACAGGGAAAGTGAAACTCAGCATGGGAGGCTGCAGCTCACTGAGCATGCCACAGGACCTGTCCTCAGGGCGGGCTCCGCCCCCAGGACCAAGTCCTTCCCTCAGCTGTCCTGCAGGGAAGGCGAGGTTCTGTGAGACCAAATAGCAGCGGTTCAGTGTCCGCCCCAGGCCCCGCCCCCAGGATCAGGCCCCGCCCCAGGCCCAGGAGCCAGCCCCCAGAACTAGGCCCCGCCCCAGTATCAAGCCCCGCCCCCATGACCAGGCCCCGCCCACATCTGTCCTCCCGCAGGGAGCAGCTCAGTGCCCTGGGTTGATTGCAGCGAAGGCTCAGCAGGCAGCTCTACAGTCCACCACAGGGCCCTGACACAGGCTGGCTTCTGGCCCTGCCTGCTCCAGTTGGGTCCACAGGGCCAGGTTGCACCAAGTCCCTTTTCAGATGCCAGTCCAACATCAAGCGGAGCGCTCCCCCAACCAAGTCTCTAGCACAGAAGCTGGTGTCCCCTGGGAACTAAAGAGCAATGTGTGGTGAAGGGAGCTTGGGACCAAGCTTGCGCCCTGCCACGGAGCTTGGCATCTGCTGTTCCTGCCGCCTAGAACAGACTCTCCCTCCACATGCTCACACCCTTTCTCACTTCCTTCTGCCTTTGCTTAACAGAAACCTCTTCACCGATGTCTTCCTTGTTACATCATCTAAAATAGCTACACACACACACACACACAGCCCGCATGCAATACATTGCTTTTCCGTAGAAATGACTGACATTCCTTTTTAGATTAGTTTACTGGCTGTTCCCAAAATAGCACTCGCCATTGCGTATCGGTATCCCCACTGGTGCAAGGTTCAGGGGAGCAGAGACTGGGGATGCCGCACATGGTATGCAGTTAATGAATGCTCATGACTAAATAAAGCTCTATAAAGTTCCTTCCAACTTCATGAAGGGTCTGAGACCCCAGCCTAGGGAACATCAGTGACAGGCACTGACCCAACTACACCCCCTCCTGACTTGTCCTGCCAAAAGGGGCTGCCCACAGCCTGCAGGACTGTACCCCAAGTCAACCCTGTAGTCCTTCCCAGACCTCCAGTGCTGTGCCCCTCCCCGGCGCCTGGCCTTTCTGGCTTATGAGTCACCAGGCTCTACATAGCTGGGTCCAGTGCCCAGGGCTAGGGCCCAGGCGATGGTACAGCACTGCCAAGCACCTGCCTTGTGAACTTGGGGCTGCAAGTTCCACGTGCAGGAACACCACAGCTGCTGGAAGCAATCTCACCTGTGAGTCCAGCTGTGAGCCCAGCACTGAACCAGGTGTGCACACCCAGGAACGTGGTCCGGGCAGGACAGGGAGCACAGCCAGGGGCCAGGGCAAGACAGCACCATTCCAGCCCAAATCCTGCAGTGGGCTGTGGGACTGTCACCCCAGGAAAAGCTCTTCCAGGTCCAGACATCAAGCCTCAGGCTCCCCCATGCTGAGCTTCCCCAAGTCTTCACGTCACTCCTCCAGTCCCGGGATGCCCTGAATCCAATGCTGAAGACAGCCCTGCCTGAAGACAGCCCTGGAGGCAGCCCTGCCTGAACTCTGCCACCCTGACACTCACTCAAGTCACAGGTTACACCTGAGGGGGAACCCAGGCCTGTATGTCCAAGACGGAAGACAACCAGGAGTAGGAGGGTGACCCCGGAGCCCAGCTCCCAGGGCAGGCAGAGGGTCCCCTAGCCAGAGCCCTGAGCTCTGTTCCTATGGTACATGGACCCTCCCCAGAGCCCAATCCAGCCCCGAGCCCTCACGTCGGTCAGCGCGGCGTTGATGTAGTTGTTGGGGTCACCGTCAGTGGAAACGAGGAAGGGCAGGCAGCGGTCGGGCGGCAGCACATCCATGCTGCGGTTCTTGTCCCGGTTCCGCGGCAGCAGGGCAATGCTGCACTCCTCCACATCCAGCGGTGGCGTGACTGAGTTCAGCGTCTGTAGGAGTGTGACAGGAGTGGACACGTCAGCACCAGCTGTGTATCCACACCCGCCATCAGCCAGGCCGGGTGGTTAATCCCAATTTCTGAAGGAAGAAACCGGGGTCCAAGAGAGAAGCAGAAAGGCAGGAACCCTGTGCCCCGCCTCCAGGACCTGCATCACACACTGAGCCTGGCGGACATGCGGGGCTCAATACGCAAAGACACAGTGAGGCTCGCGGTAAGCAGGAAAACTGACACCCATGGGCTCCACAGTGCGAGTTACAGGCCCTGCACAATGCACGGCAGAATGTGTGTCTGACGGAGTCAGCACTCCAGAGCAGGCCAGGGTCCCGGTCCATCTCCTCCACTCTCTTACATTCATCCTGACTCCTGGTGTCAGGACTTCCTCAGGTTCTTGGGAATCCCTTTCAGGAATCCCAACCCTCTCATGATCCCAGAATCTAGGAATCACAGGCCACGTTTCCTGTGATATGGCTTTGGGCTGGCCTCAAGCAGCTTCTCTGAAGGAACCCGGAATGGAGGGCACTTTGGGGCCTCTGTCCCACAATGACCAGACTCCAACTTTGGCAGAAACGGCTTTTGCCCAGAGTAGCCAGGTGACACGGGAGCTGGGCCACACTCCCACACATGGGTTGGGCCCATCAAGTCTCCAAGTCTTTGGCCTGATGGAAGGAAAGAAGGTAGGAAGATGAGATTGTGGGAAGGAAATGTCTTTTCCTGGAGTCTTGGCAATAGAGAGGATGTAAACCTGGGCCTGAAAATCAAGCTAAAAGCAGGGTAACAGAAACCAAAATAGGCTACTTTGTCATATCGCCATTTGAGCCCCTGGGTCAGGCCATAACGAAGCTGTGCCATCCTTTGACTTTTCAGCTATATGAGCCACTGAGCTGGATTTTTGTTACTTTCAACCAAAAGAATCCTAATGATACGAACACTGCAAGAGTTTCTAGATAAGAAAACCGAGGTTGGGAGAGGGGGAAAAGACTTGTTCAAGACTACTCACAGCTCTTACCTAAGCCGGATTTTGAACCAGTTCTATATGACTTTGAATTCTGAGCTCTCAAAGGCTTGGATGCAACACCCACCATCTCTAAGTCTTTCAGAATAGCTCAGCTCCTGCTTAGGCCTCCATGATTCAACAGCAAAAAGAACCAATACATGTATACTCTCGCTCACAATCCACACTCACACATCTGTACACACACACACACACACACACACACACACACACACTCACACACATGCGAGCGCGCATGCACAGACTCGAGCCCCACCTGGAATTCCTCCCGCAGCTGGGAGGAATTACTCTGAGGATCAATGCGGATCATCTCCTTATAGGTGGCCTTGAATTCACTGACAGGGATGGTGGTCTCACCACACAGGCAGGCCTCCAGGATTGCATCGTGGATAAAGATGTACTGCTCCTGGGATGGGGGAGAACATGAAGAAGTCACAAGGAACTAGAAACCAGAGTTGGAAAGCAAGCTGAGGTAGGGGTGCTCTGAGGTGCTGAGGTATTCTGAGGTAGTAGAGGCGCTATTAGGTAGTTTAGTGCTCTGAGATGGGGGTACTCTGAGGTTTTGTGGTGTTCTGAGGTAATGGAAGTGCTCTGAGGTATTGGGGTGCTATGAATTAGTGGGGTTCTGATGCGGCGGAGATCTCTGACATGTCGTGATGCTCTGAAGTAGTGGGGCACTCTGACATGGGAGAGTGCTCTAAGGCAGTGAGGATGCCATGAGGTACTACAGGGCTCTAAGGGGCTGGGGTACTCTGCAGTGGTAGGAGTGCTCTGAGGCAGCCTACCATCTATGGGCTCATGGGATGCCATGAGCTAGTAGGATACTCTGAGGTATGAGCGTACTCTGAGGTAGTGGGGGTGCTCTGAGAAAGTGGGGTGCTGAGTTATCAGGCTGCTCTGTGGTGCTGAGTTTCTCTGAGATAATGGGGGTGCTCTGACATTCTACGGTGCTCTGAAGTAGTGGGGTGCTCTCAGGTGCTGGGATGCTCTAAGCTGGTGTCCAAGCCATATGTTGGACACTGCATTCAGACAAACCCTTCTTGAAACAACCTTCACAAACTGTTCCCAACTCCAGTTTGTCCAGGTGGCCACCCTATGAGACGCCCTGAAGAAGGGACAGCCTGGGATCCCAGAGTGAGGGTGCAGACACAGGAGGCATGGCCTGTGTCCCAGGCCATCACTGGGTGACCTCACCCAACGAAACTGTCCAACAAACACTGTCCTCCCGTTGTTCATCGATTTGCTCGAGCCGGCCCAGTAATGTCTCCATTTTGAGACTTGTTGTTACTGTGTTTGGCATGGGTGGCCGTGCAGGCGAGATATTCTTGGTAGTTTGCCAGGCTCTCCAAGAGGGGTGAGGAATCGAACCCAGCTCGGTTCGGCCGGGCTGGCTCTGCGCAAGGTAAATGTCCTACCGCTGTGCCTCACCCAGCAGAAACAAATGACACTGGGTCTCTGGACCCTGAGTTCAGGGATGCAGAGGCCCGGAAGTCTAAGGGAGGCCCTGCCCCCAGTCCTGAAGTGGCATGTGGGGATAGAGCCACACCCCTACCTCTGTCTGTATCATGTTGACCCGCCGGGAGCAGAGGGTCTTCACACAGTTGTAAATGTCCACGACGCCCTCACATTCGGCCATGTCCAGCATCACGTCCAAGACGATGTAGCAGCCTGTTCGGCCCGTGCCCGCACTATGGGATAGAGGAGAGGTCGACCCCATGCATCAGAAGGGGAATAGAAGGGGCCCCCGGAGTGCCTGGCTGTGCCCACCACCCCACAGTGAAACTTTGCCCCAGCAGCGGGAAGAAGTTAGCAGCAGGGAAAGTGCTGCAAGAATTCTGGTGAAATGTGAGAACTGGGCTGGGGGTGCCCAGAGGAGGGGGCGGGGAAGGCTGAGAACACAAGAAGCTTCCCTGGAGGAGAGGGACCACAGGAAGAATCCTACCGCACTCAATCCCAGGCCTCCAGCATCCTTCACAGCCCATAGGCTCACACCTGCTCACCCACAGCCGGACCCACCCCTCTGCCAGCAGAGGCCACACCTCTGAGCTTCCAGGAACAACTGGGAGACATTTCTCAGAAACACCTGTCTGCGGCTGCCTCCCTGAGAGCTGGGCTGTGTGGGTCCGTCTTTCAGACCCCCAGGCTCAGCACCCAACCGAGCCGTGATGCAGAGAGAGGATGGGAGCAAACAATGCAGCCAAGATTCCAAACTGTTGGCAAGGACACAGAGCCACTGGGTCCCCATCCACTCCCCAGGGCACAGACAGTCCCCCTACACCCACAGAAGGATGAGCGCTCACGGACCAAATGGCTTGAAAGGGCAGCTAATCCTCGCAGCCCGGGGCATGGCCTGGCCTCTCCCCTCAGGATCTCAGTCACTACAGGGCCTTGGCCTTGGTCTTACAAAACCCCCATCCCCCAGTCACAGGTCAAAGAGAGGCATCCCGAGGGCCCCCCTACCCAGCTCCGCTGCCCACCTGCAGTGGATGACAATGGGTCCCGCATCGGGCGGGGTGGAGGCCTTCACACGCCGGATGAAGGCCAGCAGCCCCGTGGCGTGGTAGGGCACGCCGTGCTCCGGCCACGCCGTGAAGTGGAACTGGCGCACCTCGTGCCTGGCGGAGTAGCCTCTCTGGAGAGATAGGGGAAGCCCTGGTGAGGGTGGCCGCCAGCCTGCGAGACACACGCCATGTGCGCGGAGCTGACCCGTAACCCGCAACCAAGGCAGGGATTCGTGTCGCATTGCCGAAGGGAGCAGAGCAGGAGTCAGAGGGCCCGAGACGGCAGGAGTCAGCCCCGAGGGAGGCCACGTCCTGCACATCCTGCCCTCCTGCCACCCTGCTGGGAGAATGCCCTGTGCTGAGCATTCTGCAGAGGACCGAATAGAAGCCTGGACAGGACTCGGCCCCTCGTGCGATGGCAGAACCCCACAGAGCCCCACTTTCTGATCTGTATCGGGGGGCAAGGGAAGAGTCCCCAATCCTACAGTCTTTGGGGCGGCAGTGGCACAAGGCCTGACCAAGCCTGTCATGGGCAGCCGGCATCATCCTTGTCATCGTTGTCATTTCCATTCGCTCCTGGAGTAGCCGGGGCCTGTCCAGCCTTCCCAGCGCCTTGCTGGGGAGTGCAGCTCTTGGGCTCTTGGGCCAGGGGATGATGCCAGCAGAGACTCACCCGCTCCAGCGCAAAGGTGCGCACCACGTACTCGGCCAGCGTCTCCGTCTTCAGCAGCGTGATCTTGATGTCCCCGTACATGTCTGAATCCTCAGGCCAGTACCGTGAGCACTTCACCTGGAGTCGTCAGAGTGCAGGCTCAGGAGTTCCTCCCGGCCCCAGGCCCGCCGGGCCCCCTCGCCCAACCCCGCTTACCCTGCCCACCTCGACCAGCTTGGTGATCATGACAATGCTGGGACAGTGCTCCTGCCATACCATGCGCCAGAAGTCGTAGACCATCTCAGGCTTGGGCCCTGTGGGGCAGGCAAGGCCTCTACCCTGGGCTGCCAAGCCCAGGCCCAGCACCACCGCCCTACCCCGTAGGGTTGTGGGGCTTCCCTGCACCCCAGCCCCTGCCCCCACCCCCCAGTGTCTGGAAGGTCCTGGGGATGGGAAGTGTCAGGAAGGGCATCCCCGAGTGGGCTCAGGGGGGCAGTGTCCATGGCCCAAGTATCCAAGAGGGACGGCAAGAGGTAAGGGAGTAGACATAGCCGGAGAGACCAGGTGGCACCCGGCCCACAGGACCGAGCCTTTGAGCCCTTCCCCATGTGCCACCGTAGGGAGGGAGAGATAGCAAGGGGAGGTACCAATGGATGGAGATGCAAACATGAAGCAGAGGGGTGGGGAGGGGGTGCTGACGGCAGACAGACAGGCTGACAGACGGACATACAGGCAGATAGGAGTCAAGCAGATTGGCAGGCATAGGAGGGCCACGGGGCAGAGGTGCCAGGTACCTTGAGTGGCTATGAAGTGGTTGGACCTGTGGTAGCCCTGGAGGAGAGGAGACGGACGTTAAGGCCTCAGTCCCTTGGGTCTCTATGTCCTCTCTCTGAAGCTGTACACGATGCCCCCCCCAAGACTCCCAACCCAGGGCCCCAAGTACAGGGGCTACACCCTGGGGCACCATGTTAGCTTGTAGACCCTTTGTCCTGGACCCCAGGGCCAGAGGATACTACTATAGGGGCCCGGAGCACCCCCAGTTGCTGGGGCTAATGATATGTGGCATATAGCCTACCCTTGTGTAAAGACAAAATGCAGGGGAGCCCGCCTGTCCCCCAGTGCCCCAGAGGCCATCGCCATGCCCATGCCCCCATCTGTTGCCGGACAGCTTTCACAGTCCATCCTAGAACCAGTGACTCCCCGCGACCTCACTCCCCCAGAGCTGGGGGGCCGGAAGAAGGTTTCAGGTAGGAATAATGAACCAACACAGGTTAAAACAGTTTACACGTGGCCCTCAGAGAAAATGTTTCTTAAAGTTCTGATCAATCATCATCATCATCATCAATGTTTTCAAACTCCATCTGGGTCACATACTGTGCTAAGCACTTTACCTGAATGATCTCCCCTCAAAGCTACTTCTACCTCCACCTCCAGAGTCTCAGGCTAAGGTAAAACATCAGTCAGACGACCACTCCCGGGGGCCAACTGCCCATGTGCCCACACGGCCTCCCTTTCTGCCCGAGCCCACATGAGCCCAGGGCAGCAGGCTAGGCTCAACGTAGGGCCCAGCTGCCAGCAACACTGCAGCTCCGCACAGCCCCGGCCATCTAGCCGCCCTACAGCAAATCTCCTTCTCTGAGTCTCCAACCCACATCTGCAGTGTAAGGAGGAACTTTCTGTCTGTTAGGCTGCTTGGTTGGTTTGGGGGCCATGCCCAGTTGTGCTCAGGGATCGTTCCTGGTAGGTTCGGTGGGTACATGAGGCACAGGGGATAGAACTCAGGTCAGCCACTTACAAAGCAAGCATCCTACCTGCTGTACTAAGCATCCTACCTGCTGTACTAGCTGTCCAGCTTGGGACAGTGAGTTCACGTGGCCGCTGCGATGCAGAGCCAACACAGCCCACCGTCAGAAGCCTGACTCTGGGGCCATACCTCCCCCACAGTTGCTCTCACTTCTCCCCCCGCCCCCAAGGTCCAAGAGGTCCTAAAGACCCAAACCCAACAGTGTGGCAGAAGAACTCCTCAGAGCACCGTGGGTCACTGGAATCTCAGAATCAAGCTGACCAGGGTCACCAAGAGGCAGGCCTGTGCCTCTGAGCACTGAGAAGGCATGTTTCAGCCTTCTCTGGACACGCAATTCCCCAGGGGATCTTATCAGAAGGCAGACTCCAGAGTCAGGGGTAGCATGTGTGAAACCCTAGGGGGGTCCCACCCCTAGCACAAAAAGGAACAAAGGGAGAAAAGGTGGAAGGTCTGAGTTGAGGTCCCGGTTGGTGTGTCCAACCAGCTCCCTGGCGATACCAACGCCCAGCTTCAAGACACACCTTGTGGTCTCTCGGCCCCTCTGCCCACCACTGTCCTCCACAGCATGACGAAGAGACTGAACGTGAGCCAAAAAGGACTCCACCTACATGCAGGCCCGTCAACAGGCCTCAGAGGCCACATTGGGGGCCAGGGTCCTGCTGTCTCAGCAGCCACTAGATCCTGAGGCCAAGGGGAGCGGGGGTAGAGGCCAGGACCCCTGGACATGCTGCCATTAGCTGCCCTTCCAGTCCCACATGGGGCATGCTGGGAACAGGATACTCTCCCCACCCCAGGTAGATCCATGTAAAGGCAAGAGGTTCTCCCCATTCCTAACCCTCTGTCCTCCTTGCCCGGCACTGTGTCAGCACCAAGTGCCAGTCAGTGGACAGAGCACAGAGCTGCCCAGTGCAGCTTAAGCTGCAGTCTCTGCCCGCTTTCGAACTGCCTGTGAGTGTTACCATGCCACAGAGGACACAGAGACGGGGTATCTGAACCACATCAGTTCAGCCGTCCACGGCAGGACCCCACATGTCCCTGGACCTGCTCCCAGACAAACCCTGCATACCTCCGGAGTTCAATGGGGAAGGAGAGATCACCATTAGTGTTAGTGGCCTGGCGAGACCCCAGGGCTGAAGATAGGGATGCAACTCTGGGGAGGTACCTTGCATGAGCAAGGCCCTGGGTTTGATCCCTGGCACCCCGGTGGCTGGTCTGGCAACCACCACAACAAAAACTACCCCCAGGAGTCGGGACTCAGGATCCTGCCATTAGAAAAGGTGCAGATGTGAGCAACTGGCAGAACTGCCCCAGCCCTGTGGGCCCAGAGGGTGAGAAAGGTGAATGGATTGATGAGTGGAAGGTGCACGGCCTGGAGTAAGAGCTCAGCCAGGAGCATGCCTGCCCACTTGCATTTAAAGGGACTTGAAGCCACATTTTCTAAGAGCATTTTTAATTCTGACAACCACAAAACAAGCGGGTGGGATTCTGGCATAGGGAGGCGGAGAGGTAAAGCACAGACCCGCATCCGGTGCCTCGGGACCAGGGTACTGACTGGCACACCCTGAAATGTTAGAGCTTTACCCACTGCCTAAGGGCTACCAAAAAAGAGGGAGTGTCCAGGAGCATGATGGGAAAACGGCATTTCTGGCAGCTGTGACACCAGGGCCTTTCAATTCCTGTGGCAGGCATTGCTGCACTGCCTGAAAGTCTCAAAGTCTCAAAGTCACCACAAAATTCAGGAAAGAATGACTGTTGGCCAGTGGCTTCTATCTGGTGTGGCTCAGGGGCCACTCCCAGGCAGGCTGTCTGGGCACTGCTCCAAGTAGTGCTGGGGGGACTATGCGGTGCTGGGGACTAAACCTGAGTGTCCTGCATGCAAAGTGTGCACTCTCTCCGGTCCAAGAAAATAAGAAGTCTAAGAAAAAAAATTAAATTTAATGGGAAAGCTATCCACCAGATGGCCAACAACCCCATTAGCCACCAAGTACTATGAAAATAATATACATTATAAATAAAATCAGTGGAATGCTCGATGAATAAAGGGTTGTTTGTTTGCCTGAATTCTTGAAAAGTCAAAATACAATTCCTGAAGTGAGAAACAGTGTACCTGGAACCTACAGTGATGTAAACTGATATAACCTTTAAACTAAACTTCAAAGTAAACAAAAAGGAAGGCTGAGGTTCCAGGAGAGGGTTCAGGGGCACACGTCCTGCTGGATGCCCAGCCCTGGGTGTACCTCCCCAGCAACGTCTGGCGTGGCCCTCATGGCCTCTGAGCAGCACAGGTGGTCCTGCTTGACCCCAGACCACATCCTCAGACCCTCATGTTGAACTGCCTGGTCCTGTGGACCAAAAATTTGGGTAATTCTCCCAACTCCCCTGAGCACTGCTAAGGAACCTCCCCCCTCAAAAAAATTGAAAGAAGGGCGGGGGGGGGGGCAGTACAGGAGTTAGGGCAGATGCTTGGCATGCACCCGACCTGGGTCTGATTTCAGGCACCGTGTGGGCCCCCAAGCAGCACTGGGGTAACATGGGTATTCTCTGCCCTGCAGGGCCTGAGCAGCACTGAATCACCTGCTCAGCTGACCAAGAACCACTGGGGTAGGGCGGGGGGGCGAACCCCAGGAACCCCAGGTTTCCTGAGCAGCACTCAGGAGCACCCACCCCAGCCCCTATCCCCAACAACAACAACAACAACACATAATTCTTCAGAACAGAAGTACCACCCTGCTCCCCACCCCTATAAAAAAGGAAAAGAAAACAAAGAAAGAAAGGAAAAGGAAAGAAATTTAAAATGAGGGCTATATTGAAGGCACAGTGATTGTAACTGAGGTTCAAGCAAACTGATCACAAAGGGATTTGAACACAAGGGGACTAGTTTTCAGGAATGTGGGCAGAGCCATCTGTGTGCCCTTAAAGATCCTGACCCCCCCCCCCCCTAAGCAGAGACAGGCCCCAAGGCAGCTTCCCCTGCCCCAGCCATGCCCCCCTCCTGAAGACGGACTGGTTAAAGAGGACGCAGGAACGGGGGAGGGGGGCTGGGGGCAAAGTTGGGATAGAAGGTGGGGGCCAGGTCAGAACAGCACCCAGGAAGTACTCCCATTACTGAAGTCCCTGGCAGGGCAACAGAAGAATGAGCTTACAACAGGACAGGACCAGTCTTCGGCCCTGGACGGTCCCTGGCCAGGCAGCTGAGCTGGACAGCTGGTATTCGGGGTACCAGGGAAGGCGACCAAGACAGAGAGGGAGGGAGAAGGAGAGGGGGGGGGGAGAGAGAAAGGGAGAGAGAAAAGGAGAGGGTCGAGGGAGGGAGAGGGGAGAGAGAGGGGGAAGGAGGGGGAAGAGAGAGAGGGAGGGAAGGAAGAAAGGGGAGAGAGAGAGAGAGAGAGAGAGAGAGAGAGAGAGAGAGAGAGAGACAGCCCAAGACTCGCGAGTCTGAGGTACAGCTGGTGAGACAGACAGGAGGAGGAGGTGGGGGGAGAGATACTTACTTCACGGTTTATCCGAATCTTAATGATTCCAGTGAGGGAACAGTACAAAGCAAAAGAGACAGAAATTAGGCCAGAGGCAGATGGAGGGGAATGGAGCACAGGAGAGGCCAGGATCGGGGACAGGAGCCGGGGGGGCCAAGCGGAGACTATGCACCACTCGGGGCCCAAGAGGGACAAGGGGCGTGTCTCTGTGGGGGGCCCAAGGAGATGCTGACCAGGACCCTGCAGAGACCGGAAAGGCCCCCTTCACCAAAGCTTCCCAGGTCTGAGAGGTCAGGACTGGTCCTGCCCGGCCAAAGGAGAGGATGGGGGGTTTTGAGGGAGAAGGCAGGAACTCTGGGAACAGGCCACAGGTCCGGTTCCAGGAGGGGGCAAAGAAGCGGGAGAGGAAAGGTGATCTCAAAAGCCCGAGTCCCCGACTCCCTAGACACGCGCCTCCTCCCCCTCGCAGGGCCAGGCCCCTGCAGCCGCCTTCCTGGATGCCCCTTCTCTTCCGCCCCACCTCTCCCACCCACCCGCCTGCCTGCGGCCTGCAAGGCTGGCCCTGGCCCTGGGCATCACTGACTTGCATGGCACTCTGGGAAAAGCGCTGTTCTTACCTGGCCGGTGCTCCCCAACCTACTCTGGGGCTTATGTGTCTCCCCCACTAGATAAAGGCAGTTCCAGAAAGCAGACCATGTGCACTGATGTCCCCCCGGGCCCAGCTCACCAGGTCCAGCACACGGTTGATGACCCAATCCTCCTCTTCCTCCTCCTCTGCGCTTGGGCAGATACCCACAGCCCCTTCACACCCACATTCAGGACCCCCACTTCCTGCCCTCCCCTCCCTCGGGCCCAGCCAGACCCGCCCATGGCAGAGCATGGCAGAAGCACCTCACAGTCAGTGGCAGAGGCTGTGGAAGCCCAGAGAGGCTGAGATGGGCAGGCCTTGTTGACCACTCATGAGCTGTGTGACCTAGGATGAGGAGCTTCGCCTCTCTGAACCCAAGTCCTCACCTGTGAAGCAGGGTCATGAGTCTAACTGCTGTGTACCGAACCGGAGGGATTATAGAAAGTATTTCATATAAAGTGCTTAGCACATAGTACATGCTCAGTAAACACGAGAAATTGTTCTTGTTTCTCTTGTGGTAGTCAGGGCCACACCCAGCAGTGCAGAGGGTCATAGAATGCCCGGGATCAAACTCAGAGTCTTGCTTGTGCTGGGCATGTTTCTGCCACTTAAGCTCCTTCCTGGACTTAGTTACTCTTCGAGTCCAGCCCTAACCATGAGCAAAACACCTTTGCCAGCTCCCTGGAGGCCCTGAGGACAGAATCCAAACTCCCCAGCCTGCATCCTCAGGCCTTCACCTGCCTTCAGTCCTGTTTCTCATGGCCCCGCCTCCAACCTCCGGGCCCCTCCAAAGGGTCCTTACCTCCAGGCCTCTGGCCTGTGCCCACTCCCCCTCCAGCTCCCAGGCCAACTCTGGCCTGCAGGGAGCGGTCCTCCTATGCTGTCCCACAGAGAGCTCTCTGCAGAAGAACCCAGCTGTCTAAGCTCCCCATCTGTGCCCTGAGCAAGCCAGGAGGTGAGGGGGGGTCATGCAGGCATGGAGCTGAGGGGCACAGCACTCACATCTATGTAGTTGGCATTAATGTAGTCGGCATCGGGGGCTCCGAGCATCGGGTGCAGCTTCACGCAGTGCCGATCGTCTGCAAACACAGAGCAGGTAGCCAGGTGGTGAGCAGGGGCAGAGCCACAAGCCGAGAGCTGGGTCAGAAGAGGCTTCCTGGGGGACAGTCAGCGAAGCTAGGACCAAGCAGTGGGCTCTGGGTGCCCTGAAAAGTAGGACAACCCAAGAGGAGAGTCTGGCCTGAGGGTCCAGGGGACCCAGTCACGTGCAGCTCAGGCGAGTCTCAGCCCTAGGAAAGGAGCCCTCACCCCCTATCCCCAGGCGCGGCCCCACTCCCGGGCCCTTTCCCAGCACTCACAGGCAGGGACAGGCTCCTGCCGGCCGCCCTTGAGCTTGTCCTTCTTCTTTGTGGCATCCCAGCCTTCAAAGAAGCTCTGCCAGATGGAATGTGTCAGTCCGAGGGGGGCAAGCCCGGTCCTCAGACCTGTCTCCTCTCAACAGGGAGCAGGGGGAGGAATAAGGGTAGGCTCAGGGCCAAACCCAGGGCCTCACATAAAGCCCCCGGATATCACCCTGGGGCCAACTTACAGACCAAACGGTTCTGGGGAAAGGAAGAAGAGGGGAAAGGGGACAAAAGGTGAGGGATTAGAGATGTTTTAGGAGAGTCTGGTTTCAAGGGAGAAAATCCAGCTTTAGCATGCTGATGCCAGTCCTGAGATGTGCTTTAGTTAAACCACAGTCAAACATCAGCCACGGGGGGACACACCAGCATCAACATGTCAGAACTATAAAGAAGGTCAAGGCGAGGGTGAAGGAAGAGGAAGATGAGGGCAGCGGCAGAGGCGGACGGAAGGGGCAGGAACTCAAATGGGGCTTTGGATGAGGGCCAGGGTCAGAGGGGGTGAGGTCAGAGGTCAGAGTCAATATCCCTATGAAGCCCAGGACAGAACCTTGATCAGGGTCCACAGTGGAAGTGCAAGAGGATTCAAGGTCATAATTCAAAGGAGAGTTAGGATGAGAGTGAGAAAGCAGGACAGGCGGTGACTGGAATGGTCAAGGTCAAGATGAAAAGGGTGAGGTTGAATTGGGGGTGGGGAGACCAGGGTCCAACTCAGGCTGGGCTGAACAGGGTCCCCGGTGAAGAGGACCAGGCGAGGCTCTGGCGAGGGGTTCCCGGGACTGGAGCTGGGCACCTCGTACTCCTGCTTGAAGCCGTAACCCTCTGCCGTCTTCATCTGGTTGATGTGCTGTAGAAGGTCGGCCACACGCACGGCGGGGTGCAGCTGCCCGGTGTGGTATGGGGAACCCTTCCGGCCACAGGGACGCCTCGGTGAGCCCCCTAGGAGGCTGCTGGCTTCAGTGACCCCACCGCTGCGCTGGTCACCTGAGGTCAGAGAAATGGAAAGGGGTTCCTGCCCACACAGCTCCAGAGAGATCCCGAGTGACAGAGAGGGCAGGGGGGCAGCAGGAGGAGCAGGTATAGCTCCCTGGAGCCTGGATGCCCAACGGGGTCACCCTGTGGGGCTGGGAACCAGCCCTGCCCTCCCACAGTGACAGGCATGTCACGAAACCATTCCTGCATGGTGACAGGAGGGTCAGGTGACCACGGCACCCTCCTGGCCTGGTCCTGCTCACCCCATCCCACTGCTCCCCAGCAGGCACCCCCACCTGAACCCATAACAGCCTTCCTTCTCTTCCTCTTCAAGGGAACAGTCTGGAACACCAGAACACCCAGCAATGAACCCCAGTCAAGCAAAGCAAACCCCCAAATCAGCTTCCACCCTCCTTCTGCAGAAGGAGGGCACCCTCCGCCTGCCCCCCCAGAGAGCTTCCCCCTGGCCAGCACCTCCACTGAGGGCTGTGCACCCTTCACAGCCACTCAGGCAAGTGAAAGTGGGGTTACTGGGTCCCGCCCCAGACCCACCCACTCCCCGATTTCCCCTGAAACATCCCCGAGGCCTCAGGACCAGGCCCCAAGATGTGCTTTAGTTAAACCAGAGTCAAACATGAGCCATGGGGGGACACACCAGCATCAACATGTCAGAACTATAAAGAAAGTCAAGGTGCAGTCCAGGTGCTGGGGTGAGACATTGGCTCCTCTTGGCCACCCCTCATGAAGCCCACATGGCTGGGCTTCATAGGGATGTTGACTCCGACCTCTGACCTCGCCCCCTCTGACCTTGGCCCTCATCCAAAGCCCCATTTGAGCTCCTGTAACTTCCATCCACCACTGCCCTCATTCTCATCTTCCTTCACCCTCACCTTGACTTTCTTTATAGTTCTGACATGATGATGCTGGTGTGTACCCCCATGACTCATGTCTGACTGTGGTTTAACTAAAGCACATCAAGTCCACAAGCACCCACACCCAGTGACCGCCCCTTCCTGGCCTGGCCTGAGGAAGGGGCAGGTGTCTCTTCAAAGCCAGCCCCTCATGGCTCTCACAGCTGTTCTCTGCCAGCAGGGCTGTGGGGAGACTCCCAGGGACTGAAGGCCCCCTACCCTGTGCCTGCACATCTGGGCTCCCTCTGCCGCCAGCACTGGGTGGGTGAACTTCCTCAGCCTCAGGTCTCAGCCCAGTGCCTGTCCTTGAGGAAGTCAGAAATGACTAAATGATAATGATTGTACAGGGACATGGACAGCCCCGCCTTCCCCAGACTCCGTCTTTGTCTCTTGAAACCAGGGAGCTCGTCATGTCCTGCCTGGCTGCCCCCAACACCAGTGCCGTGGCAGTGCTGCCTGCCCTCCTGTGTGCTCCAGAGACCTGGTGACACTTCCAGCACTTCCAGCTCGACAACTGTCATGCTCCATCCAGCACTTCATGGTCCAAGAGCCCAAACCCTCAGTGTCACAGAGAAGGAAGCTGAGGTGCAGAAAGGGCGACTTGCCTATTGGACTAGATTCCAGAAAATCCTAGGCATGGCAGAAAATCCACAGGGCGACATGGGATTTCATTAAAAAGAAGGCCAGAGGGACTCTGCTTTAAAGGCTGCCGTGCCATCCTGGCGTGCATGATGGGAGTCCTTTTCCGTTCCCTGTAAGACCGCTCAAGGGTCCCAGCACATGGCTGTGCGTTTTCAGCCTCCCGGAGCAGATGGAAGCAGGAATGTCTCGCCTCTGTCTCTCCCTGAGACAGCTTCCCTCAGCTCCCCAAGGCAGGCTCCAGAGAACTCGGGCAATGTGCCGCCTCGAGACAGGCTCAGATCCAATCCCTGCTCTGTGGTGACCTCGGGAGTGTTATTTACTTTCTTGAAATCATGCATGTCCTTTTTTATGCGCCCAGTGAAAATTCAAACTGTGACTTTCCACGATGTTGCAAATGCTCAGTAAAGGTAAAGGTAAAGGCCCTCCCGTTGTTCATCGATTTGCTCGAGCGGGCCCAGTAACGTCTCCATTGGAGACTTTGTTGTTACTGTGTCTGGCATATCGAATACGTCACGGGGAGCTTGCCAGGCTCTGCCGTGTGGGCGAGATACTCTCGGTAGCTTGCCGGGCTCTCCGAGAGGGGCGGAGGAATCGAACTCGGGTCAGCCATGTTGGCTGCGTGCAAGACAAACGCCCTACCGCTGTGCTATCGGCTTGCAAATAAAGCCTTCCGCCCAAAGCCCAGCTCATGGGCAGCACCTGCAGATGGGGTGCTGGAATGATGACCAGCTTCCGGGACAGGGAGAAATCCCCTTATGCCCCAGAAAACCAGAGCGCTGGGTAGACAGAATGCCGTCCAAACCCTGACCTGTGCGTGCCATCAGAGCTTGGTTCAGGCCTTGAGTTCTAAAGAGCATCTTTGACAAACACACAAGACAAGCACTAAGACTTCACAGGGAACAGCTTCTGCGAAGTCCAAAGAACTCAGATGCGGGGGAGTCCTAGGACTCTGGCAGCCCCAGCTCCTCGCCATCCAAACGACACCTGCCATCTGCACGGCCTGATCCTGACTCCCTCAGCTGTCTGTCCCCCAGCTAGTCTGGGAGGGCAAATCCCCATTGCCTGCCTCTCTGCATCTCTCCAAAGACTCTGCAGGAAGGCCTCTAGCCACACCACCACTCCACTCTCCCCCAACACCAAGCCTTCAATCAAACCTCTCCGTTTTCTCTCCTGCCCCCACTTCCACACTTTTACTCATGCTCTTCCCAGCCATGTCCCAAGCCTTGTCTTTTCTATCTATGCCTGGAAAAAAATTCTAATCATTGCTCAGGGCCCAGCAGGGTGTTGGGGGCCCTGAGAGAATGCACAACAGGCTGAGTGAGTGTTTTGCTTGCAGGGGGCCCAGGCTGGATCCTTGGCTGGATCCATGGTTCTTGGAGCAACCCCAAAGCACAGAGCCAGAAGTAGTCCCTGAGCACTGGCAGCTGGGCCACAAAAGCTAAAAGAAAGACCTAGCACAAGACTGGAGTGATAGTACAGGGCCTTTGCCCTGCACATGGCGGACCTGGGTTCGATTACCCAGCACCCCATATGATCTCCTGAGCCTGCCAGGAATGATCCCTGAGCAGAGAGCCAGAAGTAAGCCCTGAGCACTATCAGATGTGCCCCCCAAAACAAAAACAAAATACCTAGAGGGGTACATGCACCCAGCAACGCATAGCTCACTCAGAAAGACCTGCTGCTCCACTGTCTGGTTCTCTGAGCCAGACAAGCGACTTCTTCCACATCCTCATCTGTAAGATGACAAGTTGATAACAGCAACTCTGCAGGACCAGGGTGGAAGTTTAATGAGGGAGATCACAGAGAATTTAATGAGTAAGTATGTTTTGATGAACTGGAAGTGAAACATGCAAATTCCTAGACAAATATAACTTACTAGAAGTGACTTAAAAAAAAAAACTATTAAGTTTGGGCTGGAGAGATACAGTCTTGTAAGCTATTGGCCCTAGTTTGATCCCTGGCATCACATATGTTCCCCTGAGCACCCTGACCACTGCCGCGTCTAGCCACCAAAATAAACAAATAGTAAATGAAATGATCACTGTCACTGTCCTACAATTGTTCATCGATTTGCTCAAGCAGGCCCAGTAACATCTCCATTGTGACATTTGTTACCGTGTTTGGCATATCGAATACATCACAGGTAGCTTGCCAGGCTTTGCCGTGCGGGCGAGATACTCTAGGTAGCTTGCTGGGCTCTCCGAGAGGGGTGGAGGAATCAAATCTGGGTCGGCCAGGCTGGCCACGTGCAAGGCAAACACCCTACCCGCTGTGCTATCACTCCAACCCTACTCTAAGCATTTACCCAAAAGATATGAGACACTAATTTGGAAAGATACAGCAGCATTATTCACAGTAGCAAAAACACAGGATCAACCTAAATGTTCATTAATGAATGGATGGATGAATAAAATTTCAAAGTACATAATCAATGGAATACTAGTCTGCTGTTTAAAAAGATGGAACTGTGCCTTTGAGGACAAAATAAATGAAACTTGAAACTATTATGTTCGTGAAATATGTAAGTGAAATTCCCAGATGGTTTAACTCATATGTAGAATATAAATAACTAAGGCAAACAACTGGCAAAAGAGGAAAATAAGAACTAGGGCTGGAGCAATCTATGGGGGAGGGGTGTTGGTTTTGCCTATGTGATTCCAGGGTATACCTTCAGCACCAATTCCCCGCTGAGTATCCCCAAAGGATTGTCCGGGGAGCCCCAGCACAGTTGGGTCCGAGCATCTCTGAACTTCTGGGACCAAGAACTGAACCATCCAGTACAGTTTGTCGAACATCTCTGGACACCAGAATCCCCAGAGCACTGTCTGGGAGGAACCATAAAGCCCCACACTTCTAGACTCAGTATCTGGAGAAACTGTACATTATAGTACATGTTCGATAAAATATGGAAATAACCAAGTGTCCAGCATGTCCTACCGCTGTGCTATTGCTCCAGCCCTTCAATGGAATACTTTCCTTAAAAAGAAATGAAATTTGAGAATATAATGCTAAATGAAATGAGTCTGTCACCAAAAAAAAATACAAACACAACATCACTCCTTTATTAGATGAGATACTCAGAGTGTTGAAAACTAAAGAGATAGAAAATAGGTTGGGGATTGCCAGGGGCTGAGAAGAGGGTTATTGAGAGTTATTATTGAATGGAGAAAGATTTTCCCATTTTACAGGATGAACAGAGCTATAGTAGTGATGGTTGCACAATATTATGAGTGTGTGTATTGCACACTTTAAAATGGTTAGAGGCCAGAGGCTAGGGAAGAGTCCAACAGTGAAGTGATATGCTAGATCCAGGTTGGATTCCTGGCATCACCTGGTTCCTAAGCAATGCAAGGTGCACCCCTGCAGAGCTCTGAACGTGACCCAGGAAACTCCTGTTCCCATACAGCCTGAGCAGTATCGCATCCTTGGGTCCCTGAATTGAACCCCCAACCCAGTTAAACAAAAATCACCAATGGGGGGGCCCAGGCTTCCAGAAAACCAACTGGGATCCCTTCCAGAATGAGTAATGAATAATAAAATGGTTAAGGGCTAGACAGGTAACCCATAGTTAGAACACTTGCCTTGCATGTGTAAAACTCTGGGTTCTATCCCCTGCACCACAAATACATAAAATTACTAAGATGGCAAATTTCATGGCATGTATACTTTACCACAAAAACAAAAGATACACCATTTGCAAAAGACATCAAAAAATAGAAGGATATTAAGTGTTTATCTAATAAAAGATATCTAAGATTTCAAGATGAAGATTATTAAAAAACATTCAACACAGGGCATAAACAACTTTATAAGATGTCATTTCTTCCCAAATTTATTATAGATTCAATACAAATTCACCCAAAATTTTTTTCCCAAGGACCTTGAAAAGGTGATTCTAAAATTTGTAAGAGACAGGACTCGAGAGATAGTACAGTGGGTAGGATGCTTGACTTGGTTCCAGTCTCCAACTCCCCATGTAGTTCCCTGAGCCCAGAGCCAGGAGTTAGACCTGAGCACCACCAGGTATAGTGCCAAAAACCAAAAAATAAATAAATAAATAATAATAATATTTGTAAGAGAAAGAATGAGGACAAATACAGCCAAGATGTCCTGTACCAGAGCAAAGCTGGGAAGGCTTCATGTTTCAAACACCAAGACTCTGACAACTATAACAATTAGTATGAACTGGCTAATGAAAGAATAGGAAGCCAAAAAATATCTGCACATATGTGGAAATGTGACACATGTTAAGAGTGACACTGAGTCAGTGGAGAACAAATACAGACTAATAAAAGATCCTGGGATCGTTGGTTTTCTCCTTAGAAAAGATAAAAGAAAACCCTTAATTCATACCACACACAAAAGTCAATGACAGATGTATAAAGATTAAATATGAAGTTCAAGGTACTGGAGATGTGGCTTGGTGGTAGACCACTTGCTTTGCATGTGTGAGGCCCTGGGTTTGAGTCTCAGGTCTTCCCCACCCCCCTAAAAAGAAAAAGAATAAAAATGTAAAAGCAGTTTTGGGGCTGGAGCAATAGCACAGCAAGTAGGATGTTTGCCTTGCACATGGCCAACCCAGGTTCGATTTCCAGCATCCCATATGGTCTCCTGAGCACTACCAGGAGTAATTTCTGAGTGCATGAGCCAGGAGTAACCCCTGTGCAAATCCGGGTGTGTTTCAGAAAACATATATTGATTTTGCAGGGAGAAGATGGCTCCTCAGCTAAGGCACATGATTTTCAAGCATGAAGCCACAAGTTTGGTCCCTGGTGTCACTGCATATACAAGGCACTATGTTGATAGTGACTTCCGGCTGCACTGCAGTAGCTGTGCGCAAGTACCACAGAAAAAGCTGCTAACACAGCAGCCAGGAGAGTAGTACCAGGAGAGCACCTGTGAGAGTCCCCCGGCAGCCCTTAGGGAGCACTGCACCACAACGACAGTGTGTGTCCCCCAGTGAGTACATGTGGAAGGACTCCGGTGAACAAAGTGTGAATCCCACTGGGCCCCACAGCCAAGTGTTCACCCCCAGCAAGCACCACGGTGAAGTACATACATAATTCCTGGACATTGCAACAACATCAACAAAGGGAGGAAAGAGGGAGCGGGGAACATTTTTATGATCTTCCATAGGAATTATTATTTAAGGATACATAAAACATAGATGTCAAAAACAAAGAGACTGATGTGGGCTGGAGAGATAGTACAGCAGGAAGGGTGCTTGCTTTGCATTCAGCCAACCTGGGTTTGATCCCTGGCACCATATATGGTCTGTCTCCCAAGCTCTGCCAGGAGCGATCTCTGAGTGCAGAAGCAGGAGTAAGCCCTGAGCACTGCCAGATATTGCCAAAAAAGAAAAGAAAATATTGATGAGCTGAACTGCAGTGAAATTAAGAAAAGAAAAAAAAACTATTCATTCAGGGGCTGCAGAGATAGAACAACTTGCCGTGCACACAGTTGCCCCGACTTCAATCCCCTGCACCCTATACAATTTCCTGAGCCTGCCCTGAGCAACACTGGCTGTGGCAACAAAACAAACACAAGGCAAAAATTTTTTTAAAAATCTGCTCAAATCAAATCCAAAGATCTGTAACAATGAACCACACATTGGAAAAAGCAATTTGCAATTCGTAAGTGACAAACGATTATCACCCCCAATACACAAAGAACTCCTAGAAACCAGTAAGAAAGCAACAGAAAACGAATCAAAAATTAGGCAAAAGAACAGGTACTTTTTGAAGAGAGCAACCTGAATGGCCAATAACGATTTGAAAATATGCTCCGACCTCATTAGTAATCAGAGACGTGCAAATGAAGATGACAGAGAATTGCCATTTCATACAAACCAGTTAGGCATAAATGAAGCAGCCGGGGAGACTTTGATGCTGCTGGAAAACACAACCAGCTCTTGGACTCGACTACCAGGTGGGAACTAGGGCAAAGGCACTCCCAAAGCCAGAGGGGAAACCCTGTGGCTGTCAGAGGAAGCAGGGCGAGCAGAGACTGCAGATCCAGCAGCACGACTAGAATTCCCATACACGGGCATCTGGAGACGCATTTCAGAATGTTCCCAGCCGCTTCATTTGCAATAACAAGAAAACCAGAAGCAAATCAAAGGTCCCTAGATGGCTGAATAGAGAAATAAATCGTGATGTAATCACACACTGGAAAACTAGACATCAGAGAAAATAAATGAGTTACGGAACCACCACCTGGATAAATACTAGAGATATGACGCTGAGCTAAAAAAAAAAAAAAAAGTTATTTCATTTCTCTAAAGCTCAAAAATGAGCCAAGTTATATAAAGCGCCATTTGGGGATATATGCACACAGTAGGGGGGAAAAAAAAGGAAGACTGTTACTTACACAAATATCAGGGGAATACTTATGCCTTCGAGGGAGGTAGGGATATGCTTAGAGAGAGCTCCCAGGTGACGTTCTAATTCCTCCAGTGAGGTTCAACAGTGTTTACTGCATTATCATCACTGTACAACTCTCATAAGCATCACACACTTACTCCTGTACAGAACAACACTCACTAGAATAAGAAGACGCGCGATGAAGCGATTTAGCACGCAGCACTGGTTCATTCTCTCCCTGTTGCCGAATGCTCTGCACACACAGTCTCCTTTATTTTCCCAGCAGTTCCCATCAGAGATGACAAGCGTCCCCACTGCATCCATGAGTAATCAGACACCCAGGGAGGTGAAGAGACTTGCCCCAGGTGACACAGCTAAGGGGATCTAAGCTGCAAGCCCAGCTCTGCCTCTCTCCAGAACCTTCCCTCTGAAGGTCATGGGGCCCCCACTCTCACACACAGTAAGCAAGGGGGACTGCTCCAACACTCTCTGATCCCAGAACATTCCCCTCTCCCGAGTGCCTGCAACCAGCCTAGGCCCAGCACGGTCAAAGGTAACATCTGGGCCTGCTCTGTGCTCCCAGTGCTGGAACTGGAGCCCAGCAGGAGTGAGGCGGATGGGTTGGTGTTTGTCCTCAGTGTCACAGAACTCCTCCGAAGGTGGGGGCAGGAGGCAGAGGGGTGGGGCACTCACCGCGTGGGCTATAGCCGTGAGTGTCCATGAAGGAGAGGCCCAGCCGCTCATCCTCCTGCAGGGTGCTCTGGTCCGTGAAGCTGCGGTCCACAGCACTCATCATGTGTGTCTTCTCCTGGCGGTAGTTGACGGTGGCCTTGGTCATATTTACTGGCTTCCTGCCAACAGCGGGTGAGAAACACGGGTCTGAGCGGGGCAGGACACATCCAGAAGTGAGGGGAGAAAACCAGCACTGGGGACTTGGGGAGACAGATGGCACTGGAGCCATCGGGTGGCACTCTAGACTAGGGCTCTGTGTCCATCTTCCCCTCACCAGAACCCAAGAAATGTGGCCTCCCCGACATGGGCCAGCAGGGCCCCAGCACCCCAGGGACCATGGGAGGTATCTGGCTCCTACAGAGCTGTTCCTGGGGGGTCAGGAGCTGTTAGTGTACCCCACACTGGGCCTCTCTGCATGTCACAGCAGCCTGCCCATTGCAAGCTAAGGTGACTGTCCAAGCTCCAGTCCCAGCCCCCAAATCCATCCTCTTTCTCCCAGTGTCCCTGGGAATCTCTCTCCAACAAGGATGGACAGCAGCACCCCCCCCCCCACCACATGGTGGGCACAAAGCTCAGCCAGGCCCAAAGTGAATCCCAAATGCGGTTGCTTCTGACCCGCACCACCCAGCATGGTCCCGCCCAGGCCTCTCTAGATGGGCAGAGAGCCACACAGAGCCTGTCACAGCCCCCACCCATAGGAGGCAAGAGGCCAACCCCCACTCAGAGGCAGCTGAGCTTCTGGAGGGGCCCCTCGGGAAGGGGCCTGAACAGCCCAGCCCTGCAGACCAGCTGTCAAAATGCAGGCTAGGGAGATGGGGGCGCAGCTCCCAGATGGAAGGTCAGAGCAACAAGGCACTGAGGGCGGGGGGTGGCTATGGGAGTGGCATCCAGCCTGAGAGGAGCTGAGAACTCCATCATGGGGAGAGACGGTGAGGGAGTGCGGACCACCATGCAACATACAGCACGTAGGCTGCAGGGTGCACCAGAGAAAGAACCAGAGATACTGATCACTTGAGGGGGGAGGGAAGCAGGAGGAGGAGGAGGAGGAGGAGGAGGAGGAGGAGGAGGAGGAGGAGAAGGAGGAGGAAGAGGAAGTGGAGGAGAAAGAAGAGGGAAGAAGGGGAGGAGGAGGAAGAAGGTAGAGGAGGAAGACAGGAAGAGGAGGAAGAGAAAGGAAAAAAAGGAAGAGGAGGAGGGGAGAGGAGGAGGAGGAAGAGGAGGAGGAAGAGGAGGAGGAGGAGGAGGAGGAAGAGGAGGCTAAGTGCTCACAGGCCTGGGAAAGGACAGTGCTGCCACTAGGACGCAGGCTCTGTCCTTGCTGGGGGCACCCTGGAGAACTGTGGGAGCAGCTGCACAGAGGGGACACGGTCTTCTCTGTCTGCACCACAGTCACCAAAGGTCCCGAGGGCATGTGGGGTAGCCTCCGTGGCCAAGCCTGAGCCTGAACCCCTGATCATCAGCAGAGAAGGGAGGTAAGTAGAGAGCAGGGAGGGAACCAGGAGGAGGAGGACGACGAGGGGAAAGAAGGAGGAGAGGTGACACCAGCACAGCATGGGGACAGGCGGGGACCATGGACAGGCTCAGCTGGCTGGACAATGGGGCCCAATAGGTGCTCTCCGAGGGGACACGGACGCAGCTACATAGGGGAGAACAGGTCATTCCCCAGGCCTCTGGCCCAGCAGGAAACAGCACAAGGGAACCCAAGGGGACTGACTCAAGGGGACGGGGTGTCATGAATTCAGGGGCGGTGAGCAGGAGTGAACATGGACACTCTGGAAAATTCCGTGTCTGGTTCATAATTCACTGGCCCCTCCGGGAGGATTCTCATGGCAGCCCAGCAGGAGCCCTGACAGCTGATGGGGTCTCAGGTGCTGGAAACCTCGTGTCACTCCAATGCAAGCAGTGGAGGAAGAGGGGAGAGCCCGTGTGCAAGCAGGAAAGCCAGCTCAAGTCTGCAGAATATTCTGAAAGGCTTCAGACTCACAGAAGTCAGAGTCACTCCAGGAGGTCGTGGGATCAGAGGTCAGGCTGCCACCCAGTTCCAGCACTGCCTGTGCCCCTCTCTGAGCCTGCATCCCATCCCCCCATCGAGTGGGTGCACATATTCTGCATATTCAGGACCTGGGAGGAGGCTGGGGTAGAGCTGAGATGAAGAATCTCACAGGAAGGGGGGACCTGAGGAGCCTGGGCAGAGCAGACAGCCCAGGAAGGTGGCAGAACAGAGGCAGGTCTGGCCAGGGATGGGGGTTGGGGGGCAGGCTACTTACGGGTAGTAGGAGTAGGCATAGTGGTCCCTCCTGCAGCGTGCAAAGAGAAAAGCCAGTGTGGATGCAATGCCCCTGCAGACCCCAGCAAGGGCCCAGGCAGACAGCTGGGGCTGTGGCCCCTGCAGCCAGCAAGGAGAGGCCGGGCCAGGCCAGGAGAGTCCAAGGGGATCCCTGGACTCAAAGATTACCCGGCTCAGTCCCTGAGGACCAGAAGCTGGTCCCTAATCAGCTGCTGGGGTGAGGGGTGCAGAGACGCCCGGGGAAACAGCTGCACATACTCACATCCAGGAAAAAAGCACACTACACACCCAGACACACTGTAGGCGCCATGGAAACACACTTCCGCATGCTATGACACACTGACAGGCACCACGGAAACACACACTCGTGCACTCAGACACGCTCACAGGTGCCACACACACCCTCATGCTCAGACACACTCTCAGATGTCACAGAAATACACACACCACACTTAGACACACTCAAAGGCGCCACAGAAACACACATTCACATGCTCAGACATGCACACACTGACATACACACACCCGCACACTCAGATACACTCTAGGTGCCATGGAAACACATACACCCTCACGCTCAGACACTTTCACGGGCGCCACAGAAACACACATCCACATGCTCAGACACAAACACAAGCACTGTAGAAATACAGACTGCAGACCCCATCCCTGTGCCTGCACCCTGCAGGTCCCTCTGCCCTGAGACAGCCCTTCGCACCCACCTGCTGTGGGGCAGGATCCAGTGAGACTTGCTGGAATCTGGGGGCAGCCCCTCCCTCAGATGACCCCAAGTGGGGGTAAGTGAAGGAGCCAGGGTCCCTCCTGGGCACCCACAGCAGGAAAGTCTAGAGCCCCAATACTGCAGACACAGTACGGAGGGTGCAGAGCAGGGGGGACCTCATCCAGGAGGCAGCTCAGTCTTGAGCCTTGGTCTCCTAGACTCTCTGTGGGGGAATCGGTGTCAGTGTCCGGGAGTTTCTGTCCCAAGACCAGACCCCCACCACGTTCAGGGACCTCCACCCATACTCCCCAGCAGCCTAGCAGCAGAGACCTCAAGGAATGGACTCCACCAGACGCCCCGCAGATGTGGGAATAAAAGGCAAGAGAGAAGAGTGGGAGGCCTGGGTAGGTGGGGGGCAGGGATGACTGAAGGAATGGTGCTCTCTGCTTCCCCGCCGATACAAGACTCCAAAAGGGGGACAGGTTGCAATTCACATGGTAAAGAACTTGTGCTAATCATGAACAACTTTGTGAGGGTCTATCTCACAGTGATTAAAAAAAAAAAGAATAAAAAAGAATACTTGGCTAATGAAAATTATATAATGTATAGGTTATCCTTAAACTATTATATAAATTCCTTGACTGGATAAAGAGTTATAACATATGTGTATGCTTTACACATATACACTCAATGGAATACTACTCTGACATTAAAAAATGAAAGCTGTGCCTTTTGAAACAAAAAAAAAGAAAAGAAAAGAACTTGCTGTGCATATGCAAGGCCATAGGATTGTGCCTGGCACTGAGGGCCTCTGGACTCTACTGAGGACTGCCCTGGGGTGCCACTCGCTGTTCCCCACTGTTATAGCCTGCCTTCCCCCTCTCTGGCCCTCACCCTGCCCTAACTCTTCTCTCACTCTCGAATGCTGCCTGAATGCCAGGCTGCCCAGAGGCTACAGAAGGGGAAAGCTGGATTCCCAGCCAGGGCAGCCCCATCAAGGTGCATCTATAAATATTCCACTGAATTGAGTAATCAATAAGTGAAGGAAATCAATGCAGAGCTCCGCCTCTGCGAGCTTCCTTTTCCTCCTCTAAACAAGGACAATGGTCAATAAAAATCCCAGGGCTGCCCCAGCAGAAAGTGAGGGTCTTCCCTGCTCCCTCCACCTGCTGAGTTGGAGGAGAAAGGGACTCAGAAGGTCCTGCCTCCTGAACCTGGCCCTGGGGATGGGCAGCCGGGGGCGGGGGGGGGGGGGGAGGAGCCCCCAGTTGGGAAACACTGGTTTAAAATATTTTGTCTTAGGAAGCAGCATAGGAACCAAGAAAGAAAAACTCAAAGAGTTGACTGTCCCACCCCATGTGCGGGCCCTACTCCCAGACTGTCTTGTCCATGCCTGGCCTCAGGCATGGCTCAGCCCCAGGCCAGCTGGACTGTTCCTCTGGATCTGGGTAGCTGGACCAACCTGCATGGGTGCCCAGTCTGGCAGCTGTGGGGAGAGGGTAGGGAGCTCTGCCTCGGGCTGCCTGGATGACAGACCTATGGACTCATCAACAAATTGCCTGTAAGGAATGAATCCTGTGTGTGTGTGTGTGTGTGTGTGTGTGTGTGTGTGTGGTGGGGTGGGGTGGGTAGGGGGAGTGCGGAGTGGCAGCCCTTATCTAGTTCCAAACAGAGCCTCAGCCACCAGCTGCCCCCGCCACCCTGAGGTGGTTTATTTGGACTTTGAAGGACATATTCTGCTGCTTTAAAATGCTGTGGAATCCAAGACCTGAACCGCCCTTAAACTACCTGACAACTTCAGTTTGGGCTCAGCGCCTCCACAGCTCTAGATTCCAGCCCCCACCCCTAGATCTTGACTCAGCCGCTGGGAAACCCACACCCAAAAGGGGGACTTTGAGGTAGGGCCAGAGGGGCAGGAAGGAGGCCGTGCCTGGAACAGGGGCCAGGGGACCTCCTCAGACCCATCGTAATGGGTCCCAGGCCCCACAGAGCCCAAGGAAGAAAGGGTGAGGGCCAGGAAGATCCATGGCTCCAGGTGCTGGGGCTGAGGGGAGTGGGCTGTGCACACCTATCAGGGCAGACACTACCAGAAGGTGGGAAGGGCTGGATGCAGTCAGATCCTCGGCACCCTGTGTGGGGTGCCCGGCAGACTCAGGAGGGCACTGCCACCCCTGGCACAGCTCCCTGGCAGCATGCCAGCATCTCTGTCCCAGGCACGTGGCCCTTGGCACTAGCCAGACCTGGGCTCCAGTCACACGGCTCTGGGACAGCTCCATGGGCAGGATCTCTCATGCACGGGCCCAATGCCCAGGCTGGCAGGCCTTTACACACTCACCAGGCAATTGCTACCCACCACACACCCACCAGGCCTGAGGGGCAGAAACCTAGAAGCATGGGTGGGCTGGACCCAGCCTCACACACTCACCCCTTGCGAATGATGATTATAATGGCACCCAGGAGGAGGATGAGGACGGCAAGGCCCCCGGCACAGATGCCCAGGATGAGCCCCATCTCCTCCGATCTCTGGGACACCTCCAAGGGCCTCTTGCTCTCCTTGCAGGCAGCTGGAGACCAGAACAGGACAAAAGGACAAAGGATCAGCGATCAGGGACTACCTCACACCCTCCCCCATCCCAGGAACAAAGCAGGTCACACACACACACACACACACACACACACACACACACACACACACACACACACACACACACACACACACACACACCCCTACTTCACCTCTGTGTGCTACTATAGCCACTCATGCACTGTTCCCTACCGAGAACAGCTTCCCTCTGCTCTCCACTACCCAAATCCTCCCCTCCCTCAGTAGATGGGGAGTATGAGGACCCTCCCACCATCCACCTCCCCACTTCCCGGCTTCCCAGGAGGTGATCGGGAAAGCTATGTACCCAGGGCATGGTCAGACCAACTCAGGATGGGGACCCCCACATTCCCCATCCTGGGTCAGACAATCCCAACACTATAGGGTCCTCACAACAGAGGGGAGGATACACAGCCCAGCAGCAGGGAGGACCAACCATGACAGCCCTCTTGGGTTACTATGGGGAATGGTTACCCCACTCTCTGCCGCACACAAGGGGAGAAGGGGCGGGAGGAAAGGGGTCTTTTCCTCACTGGGCCCCTGACTCAGACCTGCAGAACTACCTTCTGTCCCACAGCCCAGGGCCCACCAGGGAGGAAGTTGCTCCCCCAGGATTGAAGGACTCAGCAGGACTCACCTTTCCTGGCAATGCGGATGCAGTTCAGCCTCGTCTCCTGGAGACACAGATCAGGGTCTCAGTGCTGCTGAAGGAAGCCCCAGCCCAGCCTTCCCTGGGACCTCAAGCAGGTGGAGACTGTGACTAAATGCACCCAGCTTGTCAGGAGGGGCTGGGGGAGCCAGAAGGGAAGGTGCCTGGAAATAGGGCACTGTCCTGCATCTTGGTGGTGAGCGAGGTGTGGGAACACCCTGCTCCAAAACACATAAACATTTGCACTCTAGTAAACCAACATGACCTCAATTTAAAAAAAAAAATAGTTTTTCTCAATAACAGAGAGGGTTAGGGATGTGGTTCTGTGCAAAGGTGCACTAGACCTTGCATGCATTAAACTTCGGTTCAATGCCCAGCATGGCAAAAAATTAAATAAAAACTTTTAGAATGAGATGAGCAAAGGAAAGTGGGTGATGGTTACCCACTTTCCACAGGGTGGAGGGCCAGGTCTGGTTAGGGAGGAGATAGTCAGGTGGGAAAAGTCTGCAGGACATGGGGCTTCCGGGGAAAGAGCTCCTGGTCTCAAGGTCCGGACCTTTTTGGGCTCCTGAGACCAACGGCCAGAGCCTTGGGGGGAGGGAGGGCGGGGAGGCAGAGACAGCAAAGGGCTAGGCTGGGAAGGAAATTCCAAGAGGGGATAAAACACTGAAGAAGCACTTGGGAGTCTAGAGAGGGAGGGGCGGGGCTTCTGAGAGGAGGGCGTGTCCGGGGCATGGATTCAGGAGAGCACTGCTCTGTGAGTGGTCAGCATCAGGTCAGGGGCGGGGCCTGAACCTAGCCTCCAGAGCCCATCACCAAGGTGGTCCCAGCCTGCCCCAACCCCCAACCCCTCGGACCTCCTCGCCAGTCCCTCACCCCTTTCAGGTGGCTTGTTGCCTGGAAGTAGATGAGATAGGCCTTCCTGGGCTCCAGCGGTGGGTTCCAGAAGCCTCGGTAGGTCTGGTTGTCCCCCACAGTGAAGGGCATGGCCTCAGACAGGCTGCTGGCCGCCAGTTCGGCCCCGAAGTAGTGCACGAGGCCCCGGGCCAGCGCCGCGTCGAAGGTCAGTGGCACCGGGAAGCAGTCCTGGCCGCCCGGCTCCCGCCGCAGCCTCCTTGGCCGCTCCTCCTCCACCACCACCTGGTACACACTGGACAGGAGCCAGGAGCTCAGGAGGCAGAGGGAAAGCTGGAGGCTGCTCTCGTCTCAGCCTCTCCCTACAGGGTGAGTAACTTAACCTCCCTGGGTCTATGCTCTGTAAAGCAGGAGTGATACCAGGCGTGTGGCCTGCAGAAGAGGTGAGGAAGGAGAGCAGGCTAGTAGCCAGCGCTGTCATGTCCCCGCTGCTACTGACTCAAGGGGAGCCAGTGTACACCCACTCATCCATCCTGGAACCCCACGGATTCCCCAAGCCTTCCGGGGCTGCCACAGGACCTGGGGACCTCTGAAGCTCTGGCTCCACCCCAACACCCCCTAACTCTTAGTGGACAAGCGTTAGAGAAGATTGGTTATTCGTTCTCTTATTCGGGAATTGTGTGCTAGGTACTGGGGGTCCTGAATTCCTGTAACAGATGTGGGATGTGGGGAGACAGTCACTGAGCAAGCCACCAGGGACACACCCCATCCTTCATCCCTAAGCCCTGCCACCTCTGCGGCTGCCACTATTCCCAGCCAGCAGTCCCCGCCATTGCCAGTTTGGGGCCCTGGTCTACGGCCCTCTGAGCCCCTGTTCCTTGCAAGTGTGTATCTATTTATTTCTATGGCTTCCCTCAAGAGTCTTCAGCTGTGACTCTTCCAAATCTTTTCTCCATGGAACAAAGCCCAGAACAAACAAGTGGATGCTGAAATATCAATATTTCCCATCACATCTTAGTCCATGACCCCCCCCACACACACACGCTGCCAGCCTGGTGCGGAGTGGGGGCTGCAGAAGTGTGCCTGCCTTGCTCTCCAGCTGTTTCTTTTACAGCCTGTGGAGGCGACCCCAGCACCCACAGCTCCCTCCCCTGCCATGTCCCCATGACAAACCTTCCTCCAGACACTTAGAGAGGAAAGGTTTGTGCGAAGGGCACCCGGTGTTGGGGGGGGGAGGGGTGCACTGGGGCAAGGAAGGACCTTGCCCACAGGCCCCAAGAGTCCACAGCTTGGTCCCCACTTTCCCACCTGATGGGGGCCCCGCGGCCCTGTGCCGGCCTCAGTAGCACAGTGATGGTGTCCTCCGACTCGCCCAGGGGTGACGGCATGTCAGCATAATCAAAGCTGGGGGCTGGAGAAGGGGACAGGGACTTCAGCACAGAGACTGGCCACTGGGCCAGCAAAGCCAGGCTGAGTCTCCTCAAACCTGGTCCCCTTCGTTCTTAGCCTTTAGCTTCCTGCTAAACTGGGCTTCTCTGACCCCTGACCAGATGCCACTGACGACAATCCCCTGACCCCTCTAATGTAAACACCCCTGACCCCTGACCTCAGTCGCCAACAGGCACATTTATCTCAGCAGGAACCCTCTACCACCGCCCCCAGAGGCCTCCCTCTCCCCCCACTGGGGTTCTGGGCCATCTCCAAAGGGACAGGAGAGGTGAGGGGCACTCCCCACCAGAGATGTTGGTGGTGATCTCGGTGAGTGCTGCCTGGCCGAAGCCTTTGCCGGTACGAGCCCGCACAGAGAACAGGTACGTGGTGCCAGGGTGCAGGTTGGAGAAAACGTGGTAGGTCTCGTTGCGGAGCTTGGAGATGGTCCGCCGAGGGCCCGGCACATTCACAGCTGGGTCTGACGACTCGATGCTCTGGTAGCTGATCTAAGGACAGAGTGAGCCGGTCAGCAGGCACAGGAGGCTAGAGGGCAGCTTGCCCCCATCAGGGTTTTGGTGGACTGGGGCTCAGGCGGGACAAAGGGGGAGAGGCTCTGTGGGACTGTGAGGATCCAGGCCACCGGGGACCACTGCCTTTCTTCTGCCTCCAGAGTCAGGCTGGTCAGAGATGGAGGACACTGGGTAACACCCAGCCCCAAGCACCTCCCACCAGGGACCCCTGGGCAGAGCCCCCACCCACCTCATACTGAGTGATAAGGCCATTGGGCTCCTGGGGCTCCTCCCACTTGAGGAAGATCATGTCCTCCAGGGGTGTGAAGGTGAGGGACTCCGCTGAGATCCCGCCAGGCACTGCAAGGGAAAGGAGGAGAGGGCAGCAAAAGTGGCCCGGAGCAGGAAACCCCAGATTTAAACTCCGGCCTCTGTATTTCCCAAGGTGTTCTGGCCTCCTCTAACTCTGAGACTCTGTTTCCTCATCTGTGAGATGGATGATCACCCTTCCCCAGCCAAATTAAATGATATATACATAAGGCCCTGGGGCAAATTCCAGCTATTTCATATTATTCAGCCCATTTTTCGAAGGATTCCAGAAAGCTTAGCCGGCACATTTGCTACTGTGAAGCTTATTTTCAGCACGGAAGAATGTCTGAACACTCCTGTTTTGTTCCAGTTGAGTGGTTTTCAAAAAATATAGACAATTGCCAGAGAAATAAAAACAATAATTGCATTGCAACACCGAAATTATGGGCGGAGATGTTTTCTTGTCTAAATATTTCTAATTATCCAACAATATGTTCCATGCAGAAAACTAAAGTGAGCATAAAGAAAATTAATGATACCTACAATCCTAACACCAAAGGTAAACACTGTTAACATTTTAGAGGGAACCCTTTCAGATGATTTTGCTTTGTTTCTCTTGTATTTTGTTTTAAAGTTTCATCTAAACAGCAGGCACAAGACAATATTCTTCTAGAAAACACCTTTACAAACCTCCATGGGGGAACTTGAAACCCTAAGGCAAGGCAGTGAATGACAGCAGGATCTTCCTATTACAATTAACAGTTTCCATGGCAACACCACCATCCACCAAAATGACCACATGAAAAAGACAATTGCAAGTGTTGGCAAGGATGCAAAGTATGCGAAATGTCCACAGACAGCTAGTGGATATTAAACTGACAGAAACACTTGGGAAGGTGTCTGAACATTATCTGCTTATTACAAACATGTGTCCTGAAACCAAGCCAACAACTCCTAAGCTTAAACCCATAAGAAATAGATAGATAGATACCCCCAAAAAATCTTCAGGTATTTTATTTGTAGGACAACTTAAAATAGTTAAAAATGAAGCAATCCAAACGCCCAACAACAGTAAACATGATAAATGTGGTATATTCACGTAATGGACTATTCAGCAGAGAGAAGAAATTCTCTAGAACTGCACACACAATGTGGCGGAATCTCCCAAGCATGAAGTTGAAAGAAGTCAGTCATAAAAAGAATAAACTGAGTTTATTGATATAAAGGTCAAACCAAGCAAAAAGTCATCTCTGGCATTATAAGTAAGGATTAACAGTTATTCTTGAGAGACTATGAATGGGAGAGGGCAAGGGTGGGGGGAATCGGCTTTGGGGTGCTGGTGAGGTTATTTCTTCTTCCTTGTAGGGGCCATTCTGATGTGTCCAGTCCGCGAGAATTCATTATACTGACTTAAAAATAAGCATACTCTGAAAGTAGACTATAGACCAAACATGATTGTCACCCACTGCCTCTTTTGCAAACCACAACGCCCAATAAGAGAGAGAGAACAAAAGGGAATGCCCTGCCACAGAGGGAGGGTGGAATGGGGGGGATGGGGGGTGGGAGGGATACTGGGATCTGTGGTGGTGGGAAATGGACACTGGTGGAGGGATGGGTACTTGATCATTGTATAATTGAAACCCAAGCACAAAAATTTATAAGTCTACAACTGTACCTCATGATGTCTCACTAATAAAAATTAAAAAATAAATAAATAAGCATACTTGCTATAAGTATGATACGAATATTTTTATTAAAAATGAAAAATATAAACAAGGAGGAGTTCCTGGAGGGAGGAGGAAGGAGCAGGGCAAAGAGGGGCGAAAGAAGGCCAAGTAACCCCACCTGTCTCGGAGGGAGAGAGGGAGGCACAAGAGGCCTAAAGGGTTTTATGCAGCCTTATGTCCAGAATGAGGTTCTTTAGGAAGGATATTGGGATATCGCCTAACATGCCACTTCCACATGAGGATGACTTTGAGCTGAATTAAAGGGACTTAAGTAGGGCCTGAGCCTATTTGCCTATAAAGCAAGACATAAATCCTTGAAGGTTCTACTTACCTCTCTCTACCAGGAAGGACTGACTTCATCACTGAGCCATTTCTAGCTCCTTCATGGCCCAGAGGAATCTACAGAACAAACATCACTCACTAGCCTTCATCTACCAGTAGTAGTCCCCCATATTCGCATTTTCACAATTTGCTGCCTTTAGAAGAGCAAAGCCTTTAGCTTTGCTTTCTTATCTATAAATGTATTGTCCTGGGCCGGAGATATAGTACAACAGATAGGGCACTTGCTTTGCACTCAACTGACCCAGGTTTGATCCCCGCATTCCATATGGTCCCCCAAGTCTGCCAGGAATGATCCCTGAGCACACACACAAAAAAGGAGTAAGACCTGAACACCACCAGGTTTGGGCCCCCAAATACATGATTTTTGTCCTTCAGTTAAGTTCAAGTTTCACAACCCCTTTGAGTTTTTTTTAATCACTGAATACTTCCAAATATGTGTAAGATGCATATTGTGATAGACTTCTCCTTGTTGATCTGTCTCTTCTAAGTCTTATTGATAGGGACCCAACTAAGATGGGCAGAAGAGTTGGGGGAAAGTTCCTTCTCTGCATCTGGAATGCTTCAAGGTAAATCCCTCCAATCCTTATCTGAAACCCCACCCACAGCAAATCCTCAGGATACCGGGGCAGGATAGGGTCCACGCACTTTGCACCATGAGGAGGGTTTTGAGGAAACCAAAGAGGGAGCTGAGTTTGGTAATAGAGTCCAGTTGTACAACAGTAAAGTATGCATGTGAGGAGATTAGAAAAACCATCACCCCGGGAGTTTGCAAACCTGGGGTTTGCAAGAACGTGAAGAAAGACTTTAGACCTGTGCCTGCAGTGGAGCAAAGATATTAAAAACTACAACTCCAGAGCCCTGAAAGATAGCACCGAGGCTAAGGACACTTGCCTTCTCTGCGCCAACTCCAGCTATTTCTCAGCATCCCATCTGATCCCCTGAACACTGCCAGGAGTCACTCCAGAGAACTGAGGCAAGAATAGCCTCTGATAAGTGCCAGGTACGACCCAATGGGCACTGGTGGAGGGATAGGTACTTGATCATTGTATAACTGAAACCCAAGCACAAAAATTTGTAAGCCTACAACTGTACCTCATGGTGTTTCACTAATAAAAATTTTTAAAAAATAATGACAACTCTGGGACCCAGGGAATGGCCTCAGTGGTAGAACACCTCCCATCCTGCAGATATGAGGCCCAGTACCACATAGTCAACACTATGGGAACTTTAGTGCTGTTGTGGTGATCCCCATTTGCCATAAGGGCACAAGCCCTGAGCATACCACAGCCAAAGTGAAAACACCATAACTGGGTGTGGAAACACTGCAACCAAGCATGTGACTCACGGAAGGAGCACAACCAGGTGTGTGAGCACATGACCAAGTGTGCAACCTCAGACACTGCAACAACAAAAAAGGCAAGAGATGGGGAAATGTTTAAAAGGAAAAGACCATAGATCCAGGTGTGAAACGCAGCTCTGCTACCCATCTATTTGCTATATGATCTCATCTGTAAAACAGGAATAGAAAATGCTTATAGCATAGGGCTGTGTAAGGAAAAAATTGGCTACCCCAAGATATATCTCTTTGGCATAAGGATTACTTCATAAGACAGTTTCTGTGAATAACATTTGGAAACAAAACAACAAAAAAATAAAGAGCGGTTCTGTGGACCACATAAAGGCTGATCTTTTCTAGGATGTGGTAGTAAGTCTGATCTTATTAAAAGAGTTCCCAGGGCTAATAAAGATTCTTCTCAGTAACAAAATTAAAGACTAACACCCAAGAATAGCCGAGATAAGTACCAGGAGGTTTACTCCATGGCTTGGAGGCCAGCCGCACATGCTAGGGCAAAAGGCAGCTCAGAGAGAGAAGGGGCACCAAATAAAGGGTGTTGGGGGGACCCTCCCAGGATGGGAGATGCATGCTGAAAGTAGACTATAGACCGAACATGATTGCCACTCAATGCCTCTTTTGCAAACCACAGCACCCAAAAGGAGAGAGAGAACAAAAGTGAATGTCCTGCCACAGATGCAGGGTGGGATGGGGGGGATGTGGGGTGGGAGGGATACTGGGATCAGTGGTGGTGGAGAATGGGCACTGGTGGAGGGATGGGTACTCGATCATTGTATAACTGAAACTCAAGCACAAAAATTTGTAAGTGTACAACTGTACCTCATGGTGTTTCACTCGGGTCGGCCATGTTGGCTGAGTGCAAGGCAGACGCCCTACCTGCCTACCTGCTGTGCTATCGCTCCAGCCCCCCGGTGTTTCAAAAAAAAAAGTATGCCTCTGGTAAAAAAAAAAAAAAGATTCTCCTCTACCTTACTTCTCAACTTAATGTGTCATAGGTACCAATAATAAGACAAGTGTATAGATTATAAGCACTCTAAATTTTCTTCAGTTTGGAAGTTTTCCAATTCAATAGGGATTCAACCCAGTAAGTATCACAATATCTAGAAAAGCTTACTCTCAGAAAAAAAAAAAAACAACTACCAGCTGGTCATGAAAACCTCCCTCTCACAGCTCAAATGTCTGAACTCTCTGAGTTCATTTGGCTGCCTGCCCGACGCATGCAGACACATGCTTCCTCCAGGGGGCAGAGACCTGAGAGAGCAGTTGCAAAAGCTCAGAGGCCACAAAGTCACATAAAACATGACGAAAGTAGAGACTGAATGCACACGAACAGCTCCAGCTAAGCCTTGGGTCTCTGGGAGCCAAACAAGATTTAAATGAGATTGGCCAACAAGACCAGGGTTATATTTTGTTTTACAAAAACACCTTACCCTGTTGTGTGGACTCAGCATGCAATCTGTGCTAATGTAACCCATGACAGGAAAAGTGTCCAACTTTTCCTATCCTGAAAGATTTTGGGAGTCAGAAATAGGGAGTTTCCGAAGCAATGTTCCAGTGCCTGGGGCCCAGTGACTCTCAGCCACCAGGGTCAGAGAGTTCAGTAATCAGGTCCAGGGGTGCTCGGGGGG